TTTATTTAGCTTTAATCAACCTGTAATTTATTATACTTTAGATGCGCGATGTTAAAAATGTTAAGTTCATCCACCTTACGGCCGTTCAGACTTCAACTAAAGCTGATTTTACAAGGAATATTTTTTAGGAATATTTTAGCTGGTGCCCGCGACTACGTCTGCGTAGAATAGGAGACAAAAAGACAGATTTACATAAAATATGTATATAAATTATAGAATATGTGTTATTCTGATGTATGAGCTATATTATTGTAAAGTTTGATTAAAGTCCATTTAGTAGTATTTGCGTGAAAGAGTAACAAACAACCATCCATACATACAAACTTTCGTCTTTATAATATTAGTAAGGATATTATAATAGTTATTTTTGGCCTTACAAATTTCTTTCGTTATCTTTCTTACCAGCGTGTTGTTTTTTTCGGAGACACTAATTTTCCACTCACGTGTAAAAAATAAGATATTACTTCGCCATGAAATTTATGTTTACAAGAACAAAATGTCCGTCCGTGGCTAGAAATCGTTTCCCTTATCACTTCTAAAGCCTTTTCAACGCTGATTGTAGCGCCCGCCATTCTGTTATCAGCCGTTGATGTGTTAATGAAGCGTTTAAAACAATTAATAGTGCGCGAATGCTTCACACGTCTCTCATTTGTCACCTGAGGCGGGAAAAGTGACAACGGGAATTTTAAATTCTCGGGGCCGTACGCTTCGTAAATAAGTGACGTACTTAATTAAATAAATGTTATAATTGTAAGCTTATGAACTGTCGTGACTCCCGAAATTCACAAAATTGAGGTAAATATTCTTTCAAACGTGTTTAGCCGAAATTCTTTTGTTTTTGAAAATAAGTAACTTAATTTTTTTTATGTGATAAGTTGCCAAGCGAGCAGACGGTTCACCGTTCACGGTAAGTGAATACCGCCGCCCATGGACATCTGCTACACCCGAGGGTTCCAGATGCGTTGACAACCTTTTGAAAATTGGGCTTCGGCTACCTCACTCACCAGACGGAACGCGAAAGTATTATACTTCCACTTTACGCCGGTCTTCTGTGAGGTCGTGGTACTTACTCGGACAAGCCAACAGTCCTGCATGGCCCTACCACCGTAATTATGTATTAGGAATAAATTTTATCTCAATTTCATTACTTTAATCAAGTAAGGCTTTTGTTTTTATAATTCTACTTCATGCATTTGATTTAGCCTGCCCAATATGTTTTTTTTAGAATGAATGAAGTCTAAATAAGAAGGAAGCAGTATGTAACTTCCTTCATTCTCGATTTAAAAACATTACCCTTACTGTGGGCTTACCTTACCTTATGTTTACTAACGTCACGTCGTTTCCCGCCGTTCGTGTGGAGTTCAAATCAAAATAAAAAACGCGATAAAATCCGTAAACTAGTTTCATTTAAAATGTATAAAATTCGCATAAAATCCAAAAAACGTTTATTTAAATTAATCATCCAATCAACTAAATAATTTAGTTTTTTTTTATTTTCGTTCCTTATGATGTGCTTTGTATAACCAACAATTAATATATACCAATCAGTGCGTCGCGAAACATTAGTATGTTAATGAGTGTCACGTCATATTTTAGTTATTTGTCCCATATGTAATAATAGCATGCATATGTGTATACTATTATCACATGAATTATCAATAACTTGTGTACTTCTTAAATGGTTGAAAATGTTACGTCGTAAACTAACGGATAATTGAGGAGAATTGAATGACCAAGAGTTTTTAAATATCAATTTATTGTTTGTATTATATCTAGTAACTGGACGACCGAGCTTTGCTCGGTTTGTTTTTTTTTTTTGGTAAATCATGTGTTTTGGAAATTACATTTAGATACAAATTACCGAGTAATGAAATATGCTGTGGAATCGGAAAAAAAGGTATATATATATATATATATATATATATACATATTATACAAGAATTGCTCGTTTAAAGGTACAACACACATATAATAAAAATGTTACTGATCGCTGTCTCTACATGCAAGATATTTGAGAAAAACTGTTATTGGGGGCCTTAATCAACGATTGATTGATTGTAAAAATCTTTGTCTCTTTGTCTGTTTTACAGTTTGTCTGTGTGTTTGTCCGCGCAAATCTCAGAAAATGTTTGACCAACTTGGTTGTAACTTTCACTAAAGCATTTAGTGTTAGTTTCATTTAAATCGGTTCATAATTAAAAAAGTTATATCAACAAGATTAGAAATTGAATTGGATGAAACTATAGTTATTAAATTATATTATGGTCTGTAAAATGATGATGATTGTAAGTTTAAATAAAGTTTAAAAAATCACCCAAGTACGAGACGGACTAGCGCACGAGGGGTTCCGTGGGTACTTTTTAAGCACTATATAAAATGTAGTACATGCAGGCGGAGCCGCCGGCGAAAAGCTAGTTTAAAATAAACACAGTCAGTACACACAGACAGTCAGTAATTATTCATTATTTTGTCTCACTCTATTAATATCATATTTGGAAGGTGAATTAAATCGAACGCTTTAGTTTTTAGAGAAGAATAACATTTTCTATTCCTACTCAATAAGTACCACAGTGATTATTCAAATAAAAAAATATCCTACATTTATCAAAAAAAAGATTAAATGTGCTTTTTTATGTGAAAAGTTGTCAAACCAGCAGATGGTTCACCTGATAAGTGAATACCGCCGCCCATGGACGTCTGCCCGAGGGTTACAGATGCGTTGACAACCTTTTGAAAATTGGGTTCTGGCTACCTCACTCACCAGACGAAACGCGAAAGTATTTGTCATACTTCCACTTTACGCTGGTCTTCTGTTAGGTCGGGTAAGTACACCCGGACGGGCCTGCCCATTCGTGCAACAGCCGAGGCTGCTGCGTGGCCCTACCACCGTGAGTATACTTTAGCATTTCGTCGAAGTAATCTTCCGATTCTATCATCATAATAATTGACATGATACCCGTGACTTGTGTAATTTATCTTTCGTAATGTTTCAATAAATTGATCTCGGTTATCCGATACCGATATGTATTATTAGTTACTTTTTTTACATAATCCTCGCGGATTGTCATGATAAGTTTATTTGATTTTGATTTAATTATCTGTTGCGGAATTTGCTATTTGTTATTGTATTCTAATTTTATGGAAACCGATTTTACACGATAAAGACAAATTATCATCCGATCGATAGATAACTCAACACTCGGCATGTATGTATTTGTAGACATGTGATTATTATAATCAGCAAGTAACCGGAATAATCGGAATCTCGGAAACGGCTCCAGCGATTTTCATGAAATTTAGTATGTGCATAGATTCGGGGGCGAAAAATCGATCTAGCTAGATTTCATTTTTAGAAAATGTCCTTTTGTCCCTGTTTTCAGGGAATGAAAAATATAATTCGAATATGACGGTAAATTTCGCTGCAAGAGAAAATGTCAAAATAGCTTGGTCGGTAATCGGGCGGCAACAAAACAGACGGCCGTGGTTCGCGTCACGATCCACATTTATTTTTTTACTTTTTTTTTTCGATTCCAGATCATTGCTTTCTTTATTTTTAATTTTTTGTCGATTTGTTATTTTGTTATTTTTTTCCCTTTTTTTTAAAGTTCTTTCTTTTGTGAAAAACATCAGTTCATATTTTCTTATTATTACGTCGGTAAGATCGAAAAATATTATGCATATTTCATTACTCAGTAGTTTGTATTTAAATGTAATTTCCAAAATACACGATATACCAAAAAAAAAAAACCGAGCAAAGCTCGGTCCTCCGGGTACTATATATATATATATATACAAGAATTGCTCGTTTAAAGGATAAGAGATAGCGGAGTTCTCGTTTAAATTTTCCCTTATAACATTTCGTTACTAACATTAAGTTTTAAAGACAATATCTGATACTATTTTGAAATACAAATATAATAAGTACAGACAATAGCACTATAAAAAAATTAAATTTCAAGTCAGCCATGGCGACATCTCTCTATCGCGTAGCTTAAAATGCTAAAAAAAATAATGTGGATAAAATACGTTGAGATTTTCGTCGGTGTGGCAATCACCTGTTAGCCTAATGGTTAAAGCGCATGGGTGAAAATCCGAAATAATGGCCATTTTTTTCTACAAATTTAATATTTCATATACCACCACGCAAATGGACCACGAATGGGCAGGTCCGTCCGGGTACGTACTACGACCTCACAGAAGACCGGCGTAAAGTAGAAGTGTTACACTTCTGCGTTTCGTCTGGTGAGTGAGGTAACCGGGGCCCGCTTTATCAAAAGGTGGCAACGCATTTGCAACCCTACAAGTGTTGCAACTGTTCATGGGCGGCGGTTATCACTTAACAACAGGTGAACCGCCAGCTCATTTGCCACTTTCGATCATCATCGTCATAAAAAAAACTGAATCATAGTAGGCTGGCTTTCTCTATGACATTGTTATCTACTTACATGGAAACTGTTTCTATACGATAAAGATTAAAATAATCGCCCTTGAGGTCGATTATACGACATTTGAATTGCATTTGGTTACTGATAGGTTAGCAAGCAATCAAAGTTAAAAGTACAAATTACTGAAATAATAATAGGCTTTTTTAAGCTGTCCAGAGAAGAATCAACACGTAAATCTGCGGTTTTGTTATTATGTTTTAAATTGTTTATACTTAGCTATATGTTATCACTTGTTTTATTGTTAAAGTAAATACAGTAGTAATAGTAGTCAAATAAATTAAATATTTAATTAAAAAATATAAAAGGAAAAAACCAAGAAAATATTTTATAATGTAAGTAAATACATACCAAGGAATGACTTGCTGGTTTTGGCCAGTCAAAACCGCGGTACTTCCAGAGTAACCACGGGCCGCTCTGTGTTCCCCAGATGCCTGCCCTAGTCGCCTGCGACGTTTTATCATTAAAAGTACTTTCCTGTGCCAAAGTACATAAATTAATAAAACAAACAAATTAAGGAATGACTATGTTTATAATACGTTCAACTCGTGTTTTCAGATGCATCTGCTATCAATAGGTGTTCTGCTAACATTTTTTAGCTCCGGATACACCCAAAACCCTAACTGCGACTATAGACAAAACGTGAGTATCTAGTTACGACCGCAGATTTCTGGGACCGTGCAGGGTTTCTTTCCTATCATCATCATCATCTCAGCCTGTTGGAGTCCAGTGCTCCTCCCTCACAGATTACAACGAAGCAAAGCTTAGCTCATACTGTCTCATTTCAAATGTTAACGCGATCAAATTTGGGAGGTTTTCATCTAAAGTGGTATCTTCAACTCCTCGGTTGTGGTATATGTCCATGGCTGGTGGTAATCACTTTACATCAGTTGAACCGCTCGCACGCTTGCCAACTTTTCATATAAAGGAAGAAGCACAAGACGTTGAACGGTGTCGTTTGATTTGGAACACACTTTTTGTAGTACACTTATCCATGCCAATGGTTTCAGGTGCAGCCAAACCGATTATACTATGTGTACAGTCCACGTTACCCGCTCTTCTACTCACCTGGGGAACAGTGCAGGTGGATAGCAACATGTCCGGCTGGTTACAATTGCCAGCTCGACTGTCCCGATGTCAATTTGCCGGAGGTAAGTTTGTGAATTCAGGGTATTGGACATAATTCCGTCAACTGAACGTTATTATTGTCGATATTACTCTCGCTCGGACCAAACGGATGGAGTCGATATCCATGTATGTTCGGCGAAACTGAGCAATTTGCCGATGATTTTCATTTTCACTGAGCTCGTACGTTTACCACCTCCAGCAGCATATCGTTGCATACACAATAGAGATAGGTGTCTACAACAAGACAGCTCTTCTTAGAAAGGTTTGCTATTATAAACTGGCTTGGCTGATATTGTTAATTGCAATTATAAGTGATTTACTGCGTGCTGTGCAACGAGACAAAAGTACTAGATGAAACAGAACGAAACAAATTTAAGTACTTATATGGAGGCTGTCAATCTATATTATGGTCGAGTATTAGTTTACTTCATTGGAATATTCCGTAAAATGTACCGCTGATTCTTCTATCACAGTATTGATGGTATTAGGGAAAGATTTTTGATGAGTACAAATTACCAAATAAAGGTCTTCAGTCCAGGGGGCGGGGAATGTTTATGTACATATTTCCAATCCCTCACCGAAATAAGATGAAAATCGTGGTTATAACTTGTAATAACGTGCGCTTGTGCAAATCTTCTTATCCTTTAAACGAGCAATTCTTGTGTATATATATAATTGGAATCTCGAAAACGGGTTCAGCGATTTTCATGAAATTTAGTATATGCGTAGATTCGGGGGCGAAAAATCGATCTAGCTAGGTTTCATTTTTAGAAAATGTCCTTTTATTCCTGTTTTCAGGGAATGAAAAATATCATTCGAATATGACGGTAAATTTCGCCGCAAAAAAAATGTTATAATAGCTCGGTCGTAATCGGGCTACTTTAAATACTTTATTAATTACTTTTATTTAATAATAACTTTTTTTTCTATACCAGATCATTGCTTTCTTTATTTTCATTTTTTTTTATTTCCAAAATACATGATTTAGCAAAAAAAAAGGAGCAAAATATGTGGTACTAACTCTTTATTTAACTATGATTCCGTGATATAAATAGTTTAAATGAAAAAATAATTACAACACCTATAACTAGCAAAATGAAAAAAAAAAAAATTACGCTACCATAACTGTTGCGTCAATAGTCTCATAAAATATATGGATATGTTATTTCTCCGTTGCAGTCACCTTCCTGCTCTATGGACCGGCTACTAATATCTAGAACGGGTGATCCGCAGCTCGCGTCGGCAGAATACTATTGCGGGCGGGGCAGGTTGAACATCACATCCAACGGACAAACGCTAGCAGTAGGCACGTATCTTGATATCAGTTGGTTCAAAATATCACTTTGAAAGCCGCGGAATCAATAGAATACTAACATTATTTATAATTTACTGTGGGACGTACAATACTTATGTACGAGACATATTATGACACTCAGGTACGCATATCGTTGCTCATACATTATGAAAAGGAATCTCCTGAGAATGACATTAACAATAGAGTGAACAGATTAAACGGTAAAACGAGTGTACGATCTTAGTAAAAATTCAAAACTATTACCTAATTCTTTCTTCCTCCTCGACGTTTTGTCATGATATAAAATTGTGAAACATAAGTAACTTATTAATGTGGTAATATAACTAAGGATAGAGTTTTCCTTTCCTTTGATTTCTAGGTCTAATCTCATCGTACCAGAGCCCTGGAGGTCGATTTTTGTGTCATCTGAGAGCCAAGCCCGCTTCCGTTACACCACCTACCTGCAGATGTGGCTACAAGAAAATGGTGAGAGTAGTTTCTGATGGTGTTAAAATATTAGATTCATTACTGTTTAGAATAAATGATTGTAACAGAACACCGCTGGAAGAATCTGGCAACTGAGACAAAATGACTAGCTCTCTTTTGATGCGAACAACGAAGTCACTGGGGAAATTTCTAGAACCGCATCGTCGGCGGCCAGGAGACGGGCGTGAATGAATTTCCGATGATGGCGGGCGTCGTCTACTTGGACATCGTCAAGATCAAATGCGGCGCCGTCATCATCAGCAGGAGGCACGTGATGAGCGCGGCGCATTGCGTCATCAAGAAAACACCCGCCGATTTGGCGGTCGTCGTTGGGGAGCACAACGTCAACGCTGGTAAGAGATATTGAGTCAATGGACCAATTAGTGTCTGTCTCCCGGCCTTATATGTATGTCGGTTAGTGGTATTGAGTCATTTGAAAAATTTGTGTCTGTCTCTCCATACGTATGTTTGGCGGTTAGTGGTATTTAGTCAATGGAACAATTTGTGTCTGTCTCTTCATACGTATGTTTGGCGGTTAGTGGTATTTAGTCAATGGAACAATTTGTGTCCGTCACTCCATACGTATGTTTGGTGGTTAGTGGTATTTAGTCAATGGAACAATTTGTGTCTGTCTCTCCATTCGTATGTATGGCGGTTAGCAGTATACAAAGGCTAGTGGTATTATGTCACTGGAACAATTTGTGTTTGTTGTAGTAAGTTGGTTGTGGTAAGGTAGTTTTTGTTTTCGATCGTATAGATGCCGGTTAGTGGTACATTGCCTTGGCAATGGAACATTAAATGATAATACGAATAAATATTTCGACAAACATTTTAAAACAACGTTTTCTAGTCCCAACTAAGTCAAGCTTGTACTATGTGTACTAGGGAACTGATTAAACTACTTAAACATAGTTATTACATAGTTATTAGTTATTACATACTTAAAAATGGTAGATAGATTAACATGGAGATATTAGAAAAACACTATTTTCATAACACAATATTTTTCCAGTAGTAGGGATTGAACCCACACCCTCTGGTGCAAGAGACAATGTCACTATCCACTACGCCAATTGCGTCGATAATTACACGGTAATTTGTTTGTTCTTCATCGCCGTTTTTTCTTTCTTTACACGGTTAATCGCATATGCGAAAAAATTATCCCATAAGTTTAGGGGGCATTTTTTCAGTATTAACTACTAGCATAAAATTTTGTCAACTTTCATAGCTATATTGTTTTGCAGGTGAATCGCCTGCAACTCAAGCCTTTAAAGTGATCCAAATCCAGACTCATCCACTGTACTCGACGTAAGTGTAATAATTGTAATAATTAAGACGTAAGCCTATTCTATGTATAAAGAACTGCAACATAAGAGATAAGTACTAATTCTAATTCACTGTTACTCCTAAACTATCAGTAATCCACATGACCTAATAAAAAACTTTCAAACTTATTCAACAGAACTTCTGTGATGATTAAACAGTAAAGTTGCCGTGAATTGAAAATATTTGTAACTGCGTAAAATCATTAAAAAACGCAGTCAAATAGTAAAAGTTGAAGCTTTTTGAAATGGTAATATTTAGAAATAATTTTTAAAACATATTTACATTAATTATCACAGGAAAAAATATTTAAGTACGAAATCAAATCCAAATAAAATACATTATGTTATCTAATAAACTTATTCCATGCATGTGCCAAGAACGCTAACTGCTTTTCTTTGCTGAGGAGTGCTGACCAGCCCTACTAACACCAGCCGTGGCGATAAGTTTTAAATTTGAAATCACGTTAATTGATATGAACATCTCTTTGATACGAGTACATTATCTTACATAATATAGTGATTTCATGGCCGCTTTCTAGTTCTTTTTCTTTAACTCCTCAGATCGAACTACGACAATGACATCTCCATACTGACGCTGCAACAGAACATCGTTTTCAGCGACCGCGTGGGCCCGGTGTGCCTGCCCTTCAAGTTCCTCAACAAAGACTTTGCCGGTTCAAAAGTCACAGTGTTAGGTACAAATATGATTTCAGTAGATCTTCCAGGCCGCTGTGGTCGGTGGGACTTACCCATTGGCGTAGGGCTATTTTTCAGGGTGGGCCTGGGTCCTAACTACAAAAAAAAAAATCGTACACTGCCTAAAAATCGAACCTACCTGTATTAAAATAATAACAGTTCTTACTTTTGTTTATCTTCGCACAGCATAAAATAAAATCGTTTGAGATGTTTGTACGCTTAGAACTGTTAAACTACGCAACGGGAATGTTACAAGTGGAATGTTTTCATATAGTATATATGTATATTATAGTACAGAAAATTCAAGAAATTCAATATCTACATGCACCCGGGGGTACGAAGCCGGGGTGGTCGCTAGTTTCCTATATGAAGAAAAGAACGTCTCTTCTCCCATCTCAACTAAATGTAACTCTCTATATTGCTGAAAAGCTCCGCTCGCATCGGGCTGAACTGACTGGTATCTCAATTGCAGCTTGAATTAATTGAAAAAGATTTGGGGATAAATCTTTTCAACGTGTTCCTTAAGAACTTCAAATTTAATATTATTTTCGTTTATTACGTTTTTTATAATGAAGCATTCTCCTTCTAGAAGTGTGCTAAAAATTCAAGGAATGTCTTCGTAGTTATTGATAAAAGGCTTCCCATTTTCGAAATCTCTATTTAAAAACGCATCGATCGATTGGGCCTGAAGTGCACTTTCGAATCTTCATTTCATGGTAATTATGCATAGGTCACACTAAAAGTTTTCAGGACTGGCCACTTATTATTAAACAATATTTAAAAAGTAATTACGTCATTTGAAAATGGAACTCTTTGATTGTAGAATGCAGTTTGTTTCATCTGACTGTCATTTGTTTTTACATTGTGGCGCCATTTTAAAAATTGTGTCTGCAATAACATGGATTTAACTCGGGAAAACGAAAACCCCGATCGGCTTCAATCTGCTTTTAGCGATGAAGGATAGGTGTCCAGCCTAGAATTTCGAATAGATAACCTAAAATCCTGGGGTGGGCACTAGACGACACTGGGGTGGGCCCGGCCCACCCGGCCCCCCGCTATATACGCCTATGGACTAACCACCCAATCCCTTCCACAAATATCATAATCATAGTTACAAACTTACACAAAAGACTACACTCAATCTGAGATTTAAAAAATGTAAAAGGAATATACGATAGAAACTTTCAAGCAAAATCTTTTATCGAGTTTGTCGGATAATAATTCTATATTTTTTAACCGAAATCAAAGATCATTTAACAATAGAAATCATGCAAATTAGTAAAATAATGTTCTTAAAACTCATATTAAGAATCAACAATAAAATTATTATTTAATTTGTGCTCCACCAATTTTCTTCTTGGCGTCTTTTACTTTATGTTGAAATGTCTTTCTATATGCTATCCAGGCTGGGGCACATTATTCCCCGGCGGGCCAACATCCCCAACACTGCAGAAGGTGGATGTAGACGTGATCAGCCAACAGGTCTGCCAACGGCAGGTGCCCGCGCTTACTCCCCGTCAGATGTGCACCTTCACGCCTGGGAAGGACTCCTGTCAGGTGATCATTTAACGATATGTTGATTGGAGGATGCTGTTCGAATGAGGCTTTCATAATAACAGCCTTTAGATATCCCAATGCTGGGCGAAGGACTCCTTTGTGAGGAGTGTTAGGACGTAGTTCAGCACACGACCTCGATTCATTGATTGATTGAGCAGATTGGCAGACTACTCGTATCTTAGAAACATTTTTTTGCTATAATTTTCTTTTTCTATTTGAAAAGTTGTCAAGCGAGCAGACGGTTCACCTTATGTTAAATGAAAACCGCCGCCCATAGACATCTGCTACACCCGAGATGCGTTGACAACATTTTGAAAATTGGGATCCAGCCACCTCACTCACTAGACGAAACCCGACCAGTGGACCAGAGGACCACGCAACAGTATATCTCTGTTGCACGTATGAGCAGTCCCGTCATCAGTGGCAATGCATCTGCAACCCTGAACCGTCGGGTCGCATGCCACCTCCCACAAAAAAAAACTCTGGCCAGTACGATAGCGCTTGTATTCTAGAACTCAACATTTTCACTTAACACCCTGCACCTTTTGTCCTTGCAAATTCCAGGACGACTCCGGCGGTCCCCTGCTGTACACCGACCCTTCCAACGGCCTCCTATACAGCGTGGGCATCGTCAGCTACGGTGCTTTCTGCGCCTCCAACTCTCCCGCCGTCAACGCTCGCGTCACGACCCTCCTGGACTGGGTCGTTGCGGTCACGAAAGAGGACTACTGCAAAATATAATACTTGACGAGATTAGATTCGTTTGAGTCTTTTATTCCCAGCCCTTTTACGAGATCTTAAACATTCCGTTATGTTTTTTGTAGCAATAACCGTATGAACAAAGCAAGAATAATATTCGAATAAGGCACGAATGATGTTTTCTACAGTCTTCAACAAAGGGGGCAGCTTCTGAATTCGGTTGTGTTCTTGTGTGTTTTTGTAACTCAGAACTCTGACGTTTATGAACCGATGTTAAAAAAATCATTTTTCATTGGGTTCAGGTGGGTTCGGTTTAAGTTACATAATATGGTCCCATAGTAATGTATCGAACCTTGGACTTTTTACATACATAAAAGAACTCCTCAAAATAAAATAGAAACAGTATATATGAGTCAGATGTTGAAGTTGTTTTTTTTTTTTTTGTTAATAAAATAATAAAAATGTTATATTATTGAGGCTTAATGCATGTGTCCAACTCTTACAGGACATTTAATATTACAGCCTATCGTTTCATATTATGCAAAGATAAAATACTCAGATCTATATTAAACTTATGTACATTAGCTAATGATAATGCATTATGCAAAAATAAAACAAAATATAATTTTTGAAAATCTTCTTTTGGCGCGTTAGAAATATATTTAGCAAAATTTTTACGATACGCACGCACACCGACAGCAAAAAAGTGACATGATGTAGTTCAACATGCTACATGATGAACTTCGTCAACTTCTCAGTATTACCATGGCAACCAATAACAACTCTTCGCCATTTACCTACAATTCCTAGTTTTAATTAAACCGTTATCTATTGCATTCAATGTCTTTTTCACAAACAAACGAAAGTGGCACAAGGGATGATATTTTTACTTACGCATATTCCTTTTGTTACGCTAATAATCGTGTGTAAAATAATGTGTACATACATCGAAAAAAATATATCGATCGAATTTAGAAGCAACTCCTTTTGACGTCGATTAAAGAAATACTGCTTCTTCTGCGGACATAAGTACACGCATAGCTTTTTTTATAAAATATAATTTATATGTATATTAATTTGTTAGTATACATGTATTTTTATCTCTAAACAAATTAAATATAATTTATAATTGATATCCTCGATGTCTTTGTGGCGCAGTTGCCAAGGTATTGGCTTCGGCGTTGAGGGTCGTGTGTTCGATTCCCGCACGAGACAACTATTTGTGTGACCCACAGATAGTTGTTTCGGATTTGGGTGTGTTTGTCCGAGCGAAATTTATGTTTGTAAAACGTCCTTACAACACAGGATAAAATAATCGTAAAGTAAAAAAAAAAATTCAACAGGAAATTTTCGTTTCACGTCCGTGTGTGTTAACAAGTGCCCTTCAACTGCGTTACGCAGTCGACCGTTAGTCCTTACCTTAGTGCATTTGCTATCATCCATCTATCTACCGTATGTTTTAATTTCTGCATCAAATACTTTCGATTTGGGTTTTGAATCTGCCAATATTCATAAATACTACAAGCCTTTTTTTATTGAAAAATTTTATCAAAAAAAAAATTTAAGTGTATGAATTATGAGCTTTTCATTGCTATTAAACTTTTATATAATCGGGTTATTAAGTCTTTGCAGCAAAACAAGGAATTGGGACGTTGTCCTAAATGCTGCACGACTGCGGATTTGGCGTATCCCGTGTAATTAATTATCTCCTTGACATAACCTACAGCGATTTTCCAGGCTTAAATAACTTCTAACAAAATTGGAACAAAATGTCAAGTCCTTGCCCAAATATGCAGTTGCGCCATTTGTCGTTAGATGGCGTTGATATATTTTAACAACCAAGAGGGCGGCGCGGAGCCTTCCGCAACATTATTGATTTTCATTAACGTGCCTCACTTCTAGCTATCTTCACCCTCAACCCTCCACCACTCTCGTCTCTCCGTTCACAACATTTATTACTCCGAATATTTATTTAATTTCACATTTAGAGCGCAACATCAAACAGAAATGTAGTTCAGGGCAAGCTTCTTTGAGGGTGCTATTTTTACATAAAATGTGTTTTCGTTGCTCGCGATTTGTTTTTCTATCAAGTCGATTCGAAAGCGTTTTCAGATAATCGGAAATGGAAGTGAATATAAAAATATTACATGACTCCGGAAGGTGGTGATAAAGAAGAGATAATGCCTAAACGCATACCATTTCACGTCGTTTACGCAACAAGTAAGTGTTTTGCAGATTTTAATTAATAAATTTACTTGATTAACTATTCTAGATGTATTTATTAGAAGTTACAATATACCTAATGAGATTTTAAAAAAATGTCTACATACATTTTACAGCATGATTAAAATTACCAAGAAAATTATTGAATTTTCTTATATATAAATATAAATATCGGATCTCGGTTTATATAACAATAAAATATCAATATAAATTGACCGAGATCATAAACATATCTAGAATATATCTTACACTTGTATCGCTATGTGTATCACAAAATAAACTTCTATTTCGTATAAATGATTAAAATGTCGCCTACAAAAAATTCGACAATATTCACTTCATTTTTTTTCGATTTCATGTAGAATTAAAAACTTTGGATTTTAATGCCATTAAAAGATTATAAATATTGCTATTTTAATTTGGCTTACAACGTTGGCAATGGAACACTTGTAGGTACAACCTATAAATAAGTCCTATGGGGTATAGTGAAATGAAAAAATATATGTGTTAATATAATTGGCATATTCACCAATTTTTCTTAGTAGAAGTAAGTATACTAACATCTTTTATATCATGTCAAAGCTGAATATTTAAAATTTGTTAACTATCTTCGGCTTCAGGATTTTTTAAAAGGAACCGTTGAAAAAAATGTTTTGTTTAAAATTCTTTCTCTTTATAATTCTGATCATAAAATCGCTTTGCACCGTCCTATTGACCTAGTCAGTTCTAATTATCTCATAAAATATTTAAGCGGCTAGACCAATCGATAGAATCGTATAGACAGACAGTCTGGCGTACGTTAGAGCACTTTTATGAATTGATCGTTTTTGTGAAGTATTCAAAAAGAGTTCAATACATTTAGGTGCCGGATGTAGACACCGAAAAAGGTTTTATTTGTATTAAACAGATTTATATAGAAACTAGCGGACTCAACAGACGTTGTCCTGTACACACGACTTAAATCCGAAAACTAAAAAAAATATTAAAAAGAATTGTGAATCTAACCCATTCTCGAATCGACTTGATGACACATAAAAAAATCATTAAAATCGGTCCATCCGTTTAAGAGGAGTTCAGTGACATACACACGTGACACTCACTGCATCTTCTACCGCATTTATCACGGGGAGTGTTCCGAGGAATTGTTTGGATTGATCCCGGCGGCTGAATCCCACCATCGGACATCGCGCCAGAGCCAAAAATTTCATCCACACCACCTCGATGTCCAGCGTTCCACAACAGCGCGATTTTCAAGGCATTTCTTGCCTCGCACAACCACTCTGTGGAACCGGCTGCCGCCGGCGGTCTTTCCGAACCGTTACGACCTTGGAACCTTCAGGAAGAGAGCATACTCTTTCTTAAAAGGCCGGCAACGCATTTGTGAGCCCTCGGGTGTTGCAGGTGTTCATGGGCGGCGGTAATCACTTACCATCAGGTGCTCGTTTGCCCCTTTTCTCCATAAAAAAATACGTACAGTAGAATTATAAACAGAACACAGACAAAACTAAAACATGATTAACAATATCAAAACTTTCCTTGTGACATACGACTTAAGAATAACTAAAGTCTTCAATCAATTGTTAAGTGAAAAGTGATGACCTATGGAAGTGACACGTGGGCCTTCAATGCTGACCGTATAAGGTCAGTCGCTAAGCGAGCTTTGGAGCGGGCTATGCTTGGTATGTCTCTACATGATAAAGTACGCAATGAAGATATACGCAGTAGAACAAAGATAAACGATATAACTCAGAAGATAATAAGCTGAAATGACGTTGGACCGGCCATTTAGCTCGTAGAACCTATAGCAGAAGGGGACGAATATATGGATCCTTATGTAAATGTGCGGGAATTTATTTTATTTCGTGGCCGGTTTTTTATTTTATTTTTAAGAAATTTAAGTATTACGTTATTTCATAGAAATGACTATATCAGGAACCGTAAAAGAAAATGGAACCGAACTTTCATTGTTTACCATAGTTTTATGGCAGTTCCACTCCAGTAACACTGGCAGCGTTCCAAAATACTTATATGAGAAAATTAACGATGCAGAAGAGTTTGCGAATTTATCAAAACACAAAGAAAAGGCTAGAATCACATTTATCTTATAGTTTCTAATAGGTACATATATGTGTTATGTATATCGCATTTATTGTTTATAATCAATCCAAATAATATATAGATATTGAAATTTGAACCATTTTGAAATTGAATTGTATATTTTCACATGTGGATTTTCACATATCTAACGATGTTAGATTATCACAAAATGGGTTTCCATTCTTTAAATTATATATTTTTTTATGTGATAAGTTACCAAACGAGCAGACGGTTCACCTGATGGTAAGTGAATACCGCCGCCCATGGACATCAGCTACACCCGAGGGTTACAGATGCGAAAATTGGGCTCCGGCTACCTCACTCACCAGACGAAACGCGAAAGTATTTGTCATACTTCCACTTTACGCTGGTCTTCTGTGAGGTCGTGGTACTTACCCGGACGGGCCTGCCCATTCGTGCAACAGCCGAGGTTGCTGCGTGGCCCTACCACCACAAAAAAAATATATGTATTTATATAATTTTTATAATGCTGCACATTATAAAATTTGGCAATACCTTGGCAACTACGCCACGGACTCCGTGGCGTATTTGCCAAGGTATTGCCTTTGGTACTGGGGGTCTTGGGTCAATATGTCAATATGTTTATTGTTGTGTATAAGAAATATTACTTAGAAGAATTTATTAAAATCTATCCAGTAGTATTTCCAAGAGGCGCGCACAACGGCAGACTTCTTACATTTTATTTATACAGACGATAATCAAGTTCTCTAGAAATTTCTCGGTATTTTATGTACGTTGAATAGGTAATGATAATTGGTTTTATGTGGCACAATTTTTATGTATTTTTTGTTTGTGTCACATTGACGGTTTTTATTAGGTTCCGTACCCAAAGGGTAAAACGGGACTCTATTACAAAGACTCCGCTGTCTGTCTGTCTGTTTATCTTGTCCGTCTGACTGTGACCGTCTGGCTGTATCTCATGAACCGTGATAGTTAGACAGTTGAGCCGTTTTTATAGATAATTTTACGGGACCTTCGTGCGCGAATTACGACTCGCACTTGGCCGGTCTTTGTATTTCTACATGGATTAGTTGTGTGAGCATTGAGTTTACGTGTTTGAAACGTCAAAAATTTAAAACGTAATTAAGCACAAGAAACCCTTAAAATAGTAGAATTTAATAATACAGAGGCATTGTTACGAACAAAGCAAGAATTTTCGTGTTTTCAAATACGAGCAAAATGCAATTCCAACTTTGTTTTTTTTTTTCGAAATTCTGCCGCACTGCAGTGGATTGTTTGAGCCTGTGCAACGAAGTTTTGCCGTTTGATGGAAACGGGTTGAACGTTCCGGAAATTAATGCGGCCGTCGTGAGCGCGTAAACTTTCCCTTTTTTTTTCAAAACGGCATGATACTCTTTAAAAAAAAAAGAATTTTAATACAAAGAAAACCCCGGTGATTCTGCCGGGTAATATTACGGAGTAGACTATATTACTGAAAGTACATAGGTGTGTCTAATTGTCTATGATTGATTTTATTTTTTAGTTATCTGTACTCAATATGGAACTTAACTTTGACCCGAATGGCGTATTGGGTAGTGTACCTCCCTCCTGCGCCAGAGGGTGTGGGTTCGATCCCCACTACTGGAAAAATATTATGTGATAAACATAGTGTTTTTCTAGTGTCTGGATGTTTGTATATGTATAATATGTATTTATTAACAAAAGAAAAGTATATTTAAGTATGTTTATCATTATTTTCTAGTACCCATAGTACAAGCGTTGCTTAGTTTGGGACTAGTGAATGTTGTGTAAAAATGTGTCAAATGTAATTCTTTTCTTATATAAATATTCTACGCTGTTAGGATTTTGTTTCGTTATAGCTTAAATAAACCTTAACGCAAACAAACGAGACCTTCCTTCTTCATGATTTAAACTGCATTCATTTACGGCCGGTTTCAATATTGTATCTACTATTCGTTATTCATACGTTGTACGTACGTAAGCTGTAGTTATTCATACTAATATTATAAATGCGAAAGTAACTGTCTGTCTGTCTCGCTTTCACTCCAAAACTACTGAACCGATTTAAATGAAATTTCGTACACAGATAGTCAAGAGCTTGAGAAAGGACATTTTTTAATTGGAAAAAAGTGTTGTTAAGGGTTGAAAGATATTTATTTAAGGGCTTCAAGGCGAGCGAAACCGCGGGCGAAAAGCTAGTCGAATAAAAAAATTAGAGGAATGACCTCTATCATGGAACTAATTTCAAATACCCATCGCTAGTAACTAAATCTATTTGTGGAAATATATTGAAGCCGGCCATTAAAAAATTTATAAAGAGCGGTAATTGCCCAGCGATTTGCTCAATGAGAACAAATAGGTACATTTCTATTTATTAAATTATAAATTAAAATAATCAAAAACATGTCTGTGAACTGTACCCAACTTTAAATAGATGACCTAGATTTCAAATCATGAAAGTTTTTATTTTTATTCAGCTCTATTTCTAGCCACGCACGGTGCTATCTTATAATTGCACCCAGATTAAAGTGAAGAGATGCCATTTTATAAACGAAATGTTGAGAATAACTTGCGAAAGCCTTTTGAAATCTCTTAGCTCATAATTTCGCGAGTTTCCGTCGTTGGCAAATATGTGTGCGCTCGTCTTGACACGGAATTAAAGCAAAGAGCATTTTAGGGCGACAGAAAAAGTCGTAACTTGTAATTTTCTTGGATATATTTCGATTTCTTTTACGGTATTAAGTATCGGGAAGTGGTTCAAAGTCAACATTTATTTATTTAATATACTTAGGCTTATTTTAAGCTCTTATTGAGCGCGCAAGATCTGTCACCGGTTTAATAAACTAGACCTGTAAGAATCGATAAGAAAAAATGGCGATCTCATTTTTTCTTAACGGGTCTTGTCATATTTTTTAATGACAGTATACAAATTATGTATAAAATCAGCAGTAGCTAAGGGATTTGTAAGTACAGAGCTTGCTACTACTTACACATTTATGACCTTAATGGAATTGTGGAGATGTTGTTTTAAGGAGTTAGTAACTCATCCTTTGTGTTTACTATGTAATTTTAATCTATAGTATGCGAAAACGGTTTTAAACAAGAGGTTTATTGAACTAAGTATATATTGTTCTTTATACCTCGTGGCCCAGGTTTATGAGAAACCAAATGATTTCTAAGAGAAAACTTGGGCAATTGCTCATGAGGTTTTTCAATATTACCTTTATGTTTATAAGGTTTAGAAGTATCATAAAAAATACGAACACTTACAGTAGTAGGTGTGAGATAAAAATTTAATTATATACTTACATCTATTAGTAAGTGTTTGAGTAATAGTACAGTTGCAGTGCAGACTCTTGAGTCAATTCCATGCATCTTTATCCTCCATGTATTTTTCGACATTATTATATTACAAGTATTGTAATTTATATAAGTGTTTCTATTACAAGTCAAGAGAAAGGTTGTGTACAGTAAAATATATTGGCTTGTAATTTTTAAAGAACGATGTTAATATACATGACCCATGTCCATAATGCGCAACGTTTCAAAATTGTTCCGTTTTACGTAATTTATAAGTGGAGATACAGCGAGATATATCAGTCTATAGTATTGCAATCTAATTACACCAATTGGCGTAATTTGAGAGCCTCAGTTTCGATGCGCTAGTGTCATATGTACCTCACATATACACACGTGTCGTTACAACCGCGACAATAAATGAACAAACATATAGAGGATAACTTATTAAAATTGTTTTAAGCATTTATATTCTTTAAACATCAATATTTACCGAGTTATTAAATTTTACAAAGCAACCATTTTTAGAACACCCTTACGTATAAAACAGTAACGTAAAGTTTATTTATAAAAGGTCACAAAGCATATGAATGGGTTGAATGAATTTAAAAGAGATAAAACATACTGTTAGAAAGAGAGACTTGTAATGCGACTTTGGGGCAACAAATGAAAAAGTCACTGAATGTATGAATCAGTCAGTTTTAGTTGTATAGGAAGATACAAATTTTGTTTCTTTTTTATTTAATTAGTTTCTTTGAAAAATATTTTTTTTAATTACGGATTTTTTAACGTTTAATATTTTTTTATGATTATTGGCAAGTAGCGTTCGACGTGTGTTCATTTATTGTCGCGGTTGTAACGACACCCTGTATATGTATATAATATCAGTTCTTTGTAAACGGTTGTTACTAGTGTAGTGTACCAACAGGCGAGGACAGCTGCTACCCAGCATGCGAGCTGAACGCCCAGGGTCCTGCCGCGCGCGGGTGGCGAAGCGCCGGCGCTCCGCCACACGAGCTCCTACTCCGTCTGGCCAGCGTCACCAGTGTCCACAAGCTGCAACTGTTGGCGCACCACCAGTTAATACGTAGGTCAACTTGAACATTAGTAGCGTACGGAAATGATAACAATACGGATATAATGTAGTTAACATCCGGATGAACTTCGACAATAAAATCAAAATCAAAATCAAAATCAAAAATATATTTATTCACATAGACGCTTGCGCGTTCTTATGAAATGTCAAAAACTCAACAGTTGCTCTTTTTTGAAACGATTAGTTTACAATAGAACAAGTATGTCATTTTAGCCTACGTGAGCATTAACCCCACATATTGGCGTCGTCAAGATATTCTGCAATGGTATAATATGCCTTAGCCATAAGTTCGCTTTTAATTTTGCGTTTAAATTCATCTAGTGGAAGACTTAATAGTTAATATTAAGTTTAATTCAATAGAGCCGTGATAGCTCAGTGTCCGGGCGCTCGCCTTTAATTCTCCCTTAACTCGAGCAACCTGAGTTCGATCCCCGGTGCCGGCACCAATGAAGTTTTTAACTTTAAGTGCTGACTTATCACGTGCTCCGCGGTGAAGGAAAACATCGTGAGGAAACCTGCATATTTTCGAAATAATAACAAAAAAAAATATTTCGAAGATATGTGAAGTCCGCCAATCCGCAGTGGGGCCGCGTGGTGGACTATGCCCTGATACCCTCTGTATAGAGGAGGCCTTTGCCCAACAGTGGGACATGTATAGGCTGTTACTTTACTTTACTTTTCAATAGAACGCAACAGTTTTCCCTGTTGCACGAAATAGCTGGGCCGTACGGATAAGTACCACGACCTCACGGAAGACCGGTGTGAAGTGGAAGTGTTATACTTCTGCATTTCGTCTGGTGGGCAACGCATCTGCGACATTACGAGTGTTGCAAGTGTCAATGGAGGGCGGTTGACATTTAAACTGGGTGTTTGTCCGCGTGAAATTAATGTTTGTAAAACGTCCTTGCAACACAGGTTAATGTTATCCAAAGTAAGGGCACTGTTAAAAAAAATAAGAAAAAAGAAAGAAAGAAAAAGAAAATCAGGTGAATCGCCAGCCAGCTTGCCACCTTCACACATAAAAAGAAGATTCATTGACGCAAGCCTTCTAACGCAAGACTTTCACAGGCGTATTAAATGTTATTCAAACTTATTTCTTCAATTAACGCCCGGTTTCTGAAACACTGATCATCGTAGATGTCAACTAATCAGCTGTCAAATGGATTTCAAATTTCATTTTAGGTACCAAAAGGATGGTTAAACTCTCTGAATTGACTAGATTGATCTTCTTTAAGATCATAATGATCAGTGTTTCAGAAACCGGGCGTAAGTCTCTGACTTTTATGTCTGTACAACAATGTTCTAACGTGTTACAAGTAATAAAATGCATTCAAATTGTTATAAAGCCAATGTAACGCAAAAGCTTATTGCAAGATGAATTCCAAATTGAAATGAAAAAAAAAATTGAAATTCGCGTCTATATATGTTTTTCTCTTTCGAAAATTACAGCAAGACAATCTTGCCTTGCTGTAATGTTTTCTAAGAAAAGTAGCAAAATGAGTGTACGTCTTGACAGCGTCATGCGTGGAGGTTCTGGTGTCTGGTGGGCTGGTCTCCGAAGGTGCGGCGACTCCTTGTGGAGCCACGTACACCAGCGTTGGTCGGGTCACGCTCGTCAAGCCAGCGCCGCAGGCACGAACGAGGGAACTCAGGTATACTTAGCCAGTTAGAAACATTGCCAATGATAAATTATTATAAACTAGCTGCTGCCCGCGACTAAGTATAAGCTATATTATTTTAAATTTTCATTAAAATCCATTCAGTAGTATTTGCGTGAAACAGTAACAAACATCCATCCATACGTACAAACTTTCGCCTTTATAATATTAGTAAGGATTTTGAATAAAGAACTCTTTGACTTTCACAATATATATATATATATATATATATATATATATATATATATATATATATATATATATATATGTATACTATATATATATATATACTATATATAGTTGCGTTATATAACGCATTTGTGAGCCCTCGGGTGTTGCAGGTGTTCATGGGCGGCGGTAATCACTTACCATCTTGACATTTATTTTTGTGCATTGGTGGCAATTCCGACGATGCTAAGTACTTTGACCCTAATTTTGTTCAAAGTTAGGTCATAAAATGTAACGCAGTGTATTGTAGTATATACTAGCTGACTAGGCTATACTAGCTGACTGAATAGGCTGAAGACATACATTTAGGCAGAAAGACGGATATACATAAAATATATATATAAATTATAGCCTATGTCTTATTTTGATGTTTAAGCTATAATATTGTAAAGTTTCATTAAAATCCATTCCGTAGTATTTGCGTGAAACAGTAACAAACATCCATCCATACATACAAACTTTCGCCTTTATAATATTAGTAAGGATTATTTTCTTATCCGTCGACTCGCTGTTATATATATAAATTATTATCCGTTAACCTAGTTTAGCTGTGGTAGGGCCAAGAAACAGTCTTCGCTGTTGAACGAGTGAACAGGTCTATTCGGGGAAGTATCTCGACCTCACAGAAGACCGGCGTAAAGAGGAAGTGTTATACTTCTGCGTTTCGTCTGGTGAGTGAGGTAGCCGGTGCCCATTTTATCACTTTATCAAAACGCATCTGAAACCTCTACAGATATCGTAAATATTCATGAGCGGCGGTTATCACTTAACATCAGGTGAACCGCCACCTTCTCACATAAAAAAATAGTTTAAAGGTAAAAATCGTGTTCACTTAGATATAACGTATCATTTATTTATTTATTTTCGAAAATTCTCCACGTTACAAACAGTTTTGCAAAATACAACATACAATTAATATTTTGCTCTTTTATATTACAGATCCGCCGCTCTTCCAGAACCCACGATTGCACGATTTGTGAAGCTAAGACTGTCAGGACCACATCCGCCAGCGAATGACAATGATCAGGTATCTGTCACTATTTACTGGCCTCCAATTAATTAGCACATATGAGATATCAGGTGAAAGATACATCGTTAATGTTAGCATAATGTAATTTTTTTCTTTTCCCCCGTTCAGATGTTCTTAACCTTTTTTTTATTTTACTGAGCGGGTGGTAAGCGAGCTGGCGGTTCACCCGATGTTAAGTGATTTTCGCGGCCCATGGACATTTGCAACACCCGTATAAGCTAGAGAATTGACCCTCTCCTCTACTTAACCACTTTTCTTCAGGAGTTCCATTGTAATGTAAACACTGAGCTTATAATAGTATATATTAAAGTCAATTGCACTTTTAGCTACCAAGAACTCACAGAGAATATCTTTTGGCTACCGAAATCCAGCTAGCAATTTTCTCAACGTTTTTTTTCATTAGATCTCATAACATTATAAAGCACGAAATTCCGGACAACAGGCAGCCTCGGACTCTAGATACCGATAAATTGCTCTTCTATTAAAAAAAATTAAGAACGTAATGAATTATACATAAATTTTATAAAGCATTATACTTATGTGCACCAGTGTAATGCACTCGCAAATGCACAAAGTTCAGAGTGTGAGTAAAAGAGTATCATTATTTTAAACTCGGGGAATTTCGATTATTTACAAATGTTTCCTACGGCGTCCTCAAAGGATTAAATTTAAGCCGGGTTATATTTTCAGACGCTTGAGCTGAAAACTTTTCCTTTGTCGTGTTCGAGTAAGCATACAAAGATCCGGAACGTTTATTTATCTAGACGATGGGAGAGAAAGATATTTCAGTAAACAGCACTTGTGCTCGTATGGTTTTTAAAACAAGTATATAATTTATATATAATTTAATTTAGATGCTCTATTTGATTTTAAATGTATATAAATAAAGTGTAATGAATTATTATTTTCCTCAGACTCATTCTGCGACAACCTTCACTTTGTTTGACACCGGACTATTATTTTTTTTTGTATTAAATTACAATTGTTTAAAATTTACGGTACGAATGTAAATAACGCCTGTTTAATTTATTTTATTGTTTGTGTTTATGAGGTATATTTTAAATAAATCTCAACTATATGCACTTCTTAACTACGAGTATGTCTTACGGGTTGCAGATGCGCTCCCACCTTTTAATAATTCAGGCCCCGGCTACTTCACTCACCAGTCGAAACGCAGAAGTATAAAGGCCCATTTACATGGTGCCAGTTTCTTGCCTGTTGTATACAATTAAATTGAAGCAATAAATGAGTTGCATGGTCTAAACAACAAATGGTCTAACCAATTATTGCGCGCAATTTATTGCATTCAATTATTGCTCTTGTATGTACAAGAAAATGGCATCGTGTAAATGGGCCTTAACATCCACCACACGCCGGGCCTCTTTCCGTCGGCTTAACTGACCTCAAAAAGGAGGTTATCAATTCCACCCGCATGTATGTAATAATATTGGATTTGCACAACATTCGTATAAATTAGTCAATGTCTCTTGTCTCTTATTATCCGGTGCGCTAATTTCATAAGTAGAAGAATTCTAGAGATAGAATTGCAATGATTCTTGCAAGCAATCGAGCAGTAGCCGATTTTTTGGGTAATGAATAAAAAATAAAAAGAAAGGAAGCGCAGAATTTGCAAGCCATGATGGAGAAGTCATCAACACTTAATTCGGCAATACTAACCCCTGCCGTAGCCTATTAAGCTTCTACAAAAGCAATCATTAACTAGTAATAATACAAGTTTTCGTCATATCAAAGGTCACCAGTGGCAGTCTTGTATTGGCTATGGCATAGTAGGACGACCCCTACTGGATGGAGTACAAATGTGCGGGAAGTCTGTGGATACAGATGCCTACGGAGCCACTCTGTAGGGGATGCTTATATTCAGCAGTGAAATCAAACACGCTGAAATGTTATTGACAATATTGATAAATACACGTTTTAACAGGTGGCACTTATGGCGGTGAATGTCCTTGGCGTGGAAATTGACGAGGCCGGCAACACCACGCCCGCTACACGGAAATCCGAGCCAACCTATTCACCATATGACGACCTGGCCTTCGTGATGTACGTCGACAACGAGATAGCAGATTTGGTGAGGACTCTGGACGATAAGAAGAAGACAGCTGTAGCTGGTGAGTTTGTATCTGAACAGTTCATAGTCCCTGAAGTTCATGTGGACTCTTACTGTTATTTCTTAGTAGCAGTAAGAGTAAGAGTCAAAATAACAGAGAGAATATTACGAACTTTCGTATATAGCTAATTAAGACTAAAATTCCGCGTGAAGAACAAGTCCGCGAACGCAATATAAACGCCCCAACAATGAAATTCGATTAAATAGACCAAATTTATAGAAAATAATTAATCGACTATGACCCAGATTGATTCGGAAGGGTATTGAAACAATGAAACACTCAAAGCTCAATAGAAATGATTCAACCATAGATATGGTATGCTTGATATGGTTCTGAAATAAGTTTATTACACTATCATCAGCTATGCCTTGCCTCTCTCTACTTGCTTAGTATAAAAGTGTGTCAATATAGTCCAACTTGTCGCACTTGGTGTTGGCGAAATCCTATAACGCTTTCTTTTGCCAAGAGACTTGGACTGAGATTTGACTCCATAAAATGCATTCAAATCAAATCAAATAATTTATTCGTCGAAATAACAAATATAAATTTCATCTATCGATAGTACTTTCATCTATCGATGGTTATTTCATCTATTGATAGTCATTTCATCTATCGATGGTCATTTCATCTAGCGATAGTCATTTCATCTATCGACAGTCGTTCCATTTCAGTCATTTCATTCACGGCTTTTCCAATTCCACAGAAGAGCGTTTCGAGTATGCCCGTCGTTTGAAATCCGCCGCGTCGGCGCTCGCAGCCGCCGGCATCAGGATTGGACGATGGCGGCTCCGAAAGAGGACGGCCGCCGCGAGAGATGACTTCGAGCTTGCGAGGAGGATGCGGGACAGAATTGCCGACGCCTTGGCTGGGGTCAAGGAGGACCCGCAGCTGTGTCGACTCTTCGAAGAGGGGGGGGTGAGAGGATTGTACTCCAAAACCAATTTTTTTATGTAAAAAATTGCCAATCAGCGGGAGGTTTACCTGATGTTAAGTGAATACCGCAGCCCATGAACCACCTTGTAAAAAAGTTTGCTTAACTTTAGCCTTAAAGCCAATTTACGTATTATGAGTAGGTTGTTTGGATAGTTTGTATAATTTCATATATTTAGACTGTATTCTTTTACCGAGCTTTCTTGTAATTTGTCAGGAGGAAAGGTTAGACAAAATTGTATTTTATAAAACGAGTTTATTAATTTTAGCGAATACTACACATTATTAAAAAACAAATAAATATCTCGAGCCAACACTAAAGTCCTTCTTAACATCCCACTGGGCTGAGCTCGTCAAAACAGAATAATAGTGCAAATCTGGTTATTGCGCGATCACTGCGTTCGATAAAAGTTTAATCGTGTACGGGCTGAAAGCAAAATCATTAGTTATATAAAGATAATGATTCAATATAACTAGATGTTTCAAAATGTTTGAAACACGCAGAAATTAAAAGCAAACTAAAACCCAATAAAATCCTTAAAACAACAGTTTTATTAAAAAATTTATTAAGTTAACTCGCTAATTTGTAGTTAACAAGCAAACTCTCCGAGTAAACGTAACAATATTCCGATTCAGCCGGACACGCGAAACGACTCGTCTATGCCGCAAGCATACGACTTCTCCCATCACCTGTCACCGTCGGTGGTAGCCGGCTCGCTCAGCGTGGACATACCTTCACCAGTTCCGCCCATAGACAACGATTGCGAGCCGCCAGATCAAGAGTTCGTGAACGGCGTCGACGACGAAGAAGCCAATGACGCGACGAAAGTTCCTAGCGTAAGTCTTTTGGTATGTAAGACTAGCTGTGCCCGGGACTTCGTATATAATAAAATAAAAGGATCCTAAGTTAGTCTTATTGCATCACCTAAATGCCAGTGAAAGTCGCGCCAAAATCGGTTCAGCCGTTTCAGAGATTACCCGGAACAAACAGACAAACAGACAAAAATTGTAGAAAATGTTATTTTGTAAAAAGCGCTTATTTTCATATTACAAACAGACACTCCAATTTTATTTATATATCCGTATAGAAGACGGCAAGCGAGCTGGCGTTTCTCCTGAGTTGAGCGATAACATTTGCTTTTTATAAAGTTGGCCCCAGTTACCTAACAGATCAGATGAAACGCAGATGCTTCCACGTCATGCTGGTCTTTGAGGTTGTGGCACTTTCCCGTGTGTACCTGCCCATTGGCTTTTATTCATCGGGAGATCAATTGAACATAGTGATGATTATTATTTATTAGGCTTTCTGTTGTAGTCGTCCTTTTTGTTAAATATCCAGATCAATAAATACAAAAAAAAACAACTGACAATCACAATTACGATTTTTTGTATATCACAAAACAAGCAATATACAAAAAATGATAATGTAGCTCTCTTAAGTGAAATAAAAGAAATGTTTGAATGATTACACACAAACAAACATAAAGTTATTCTTTTTTTTAATTTACTATCTTAAAATAAATCTTACTCCACATCATGATTACGTAATAATCACGAAGGAAAACATTTATTTTTCAGTCGCCAATAAAAGCAAGTCAAGAGGATATTCAGTTGCAACTCGCACAAACTCTTCCCGAACCCGTAGAAGATAAAGTTGAAACACTGAAGAAGGAAGAAGAAGAACTGAGAAAAGAGACTGATAGTCCGCGGAGAAGCATAACACCCAATGCTTCTAACGGTGAGTACACTGTACACGCGTATTATTCATAAACGTTGCTAATTGGATAAGTTGGTTCCCAGCTGAGTAAGTAATATTCGTTTTCTTACTCTAAAAATGGCAAACGTTACACATATATTCTAAATACTTATTGTAATCTTTATTGTTTCAAGGGTGAAAGCTTGCCTAAAAGGCGTCTAGGAATATGAAAAAAATATTTATTTATTTACTTCTAAAAGATGTATAACGCTTGTATGTATACTGAAAAAAAGTCTTTTAAACGTTGTTGTAAATTCCGAAGGTGGCACACTAGTAAGACGAAGAAATAAGAGCGCCGGCCCAAGGTCGACGTTCGAAGCCTACGAGGAACGGTTACTACCAGCGCTAAGACAGTGAGTTCTGTGTACTTTTACAAATTTTGATATTTCAACAGTATTTGTTAAAAAGTATGTGCCGCAGGTCTGGAACTCCATTCTATAACTTGTTTTGCACTGAAATATCCGGTAAGCACTCGAGAACACTGGATATTAGGGTTAGCGTTGGCGAATAGGCAAAATGTGACCAGTGGACTTAAACAGGCTGAGTGATGATAGGGTTTGATGAAAATCTGTATTACGAACTTGTGTCTGTTTGGAAGCCTATGTCCAGTGGACTATAACAGGTTGAGTGATGATAGGACGTTGATGACAATCAGAGTTATGAACTTGTGTCGTTTCAATCTGCTGGGAAGCCTATGTACATTGGACGAAAACAGGCTGAGTGATGATAGGATGGATCACCAACCTATTATCACTCAGCATTTCATATTTTCAGCACGTAACTGGTTTAAATTACGTCGTGTCGATCGTTGTGTCGTGGCAGTCTGTCGAGTAGCCTGCAAAGTGCAGACTGCAAAGGACTAACACGGGCTAATTAATTAAATGATTGCCCACCAAGTGGTTCTTGCAGCTCGCACACGAACGAGTTCCTACGGGAGGCGAGGGAGGCGCGCGAGGAGGAGTGCAGCGGGGGGAGCGCCCCCGCGTCCCGCGCCCCCCACCGCCTGACGGAGCGCGAGCGGAAACAGGCAGCGCTGCCTATACTTATCTTTGGGTATCCATTGGTACGTATGCAGACTTTAACAAAGGCTATCGGTTTTATGTCTACGGCGTCATATTGTATGTTCTTAAAGTTATATAATTGTCGATACTACTTATATTGAATGCAAAAATTTGTACCGTTGATAATTAAAAAAAAACTGGCAGGTAGCCTGGGTAAACAATGACGTTCAGACGTCCAATGCCTCAGTCCGCCCGTGACCATGAACGCTGTAGAGTTAAAAACGTCGGGAAAAGTAAACGCAATAAATCCGTAAACATATAAATATAGTGATTTAGTAATCATATAACAGTCACTCGCCGGTTATAATGTATCATCGATTATAGAACATTAATCCTGCAATGTAAGTCAGATAAGTTAAAGCGTAGATTAGTATATTCCTTATTCCACTGTATTTTGCATAAAGAGAGATATTTATTTACAAACTATTATTTTGTTTTTTAAATTAAATAATTGTACCAGGCAGTTTATAAGATAATTGGCCGATTTACCCTGCTTATTAAAACCATTACTATTTTTTACTTTAGTAAGCACACGTCATCACTGCATCTTCAAATGTGCAATGCACCCAAATTCACTTTTAGAGATCATTTTTTTTGGCAATCTGCCCGCTTAAAGACTTAGTAATTGGCTTATATTGTAATGCCCTCGTATGTCAAAATAATTCCGAACTGTGTAATATCTCATTTAACCATCTCGTATAACTTGCATCTGATTGCCAATTAGTCACATACGAGAAATCTGTTACTACATTGGTTCTTTAATTACCATCATAATCTTTTATTCTCCATTAAAATTTCGGGTGTCTTCTGCTAGCATCTCTTTCATCATCAATTGTTTGTATTGTCAAAAGTTAAGAAGAATCCAATTATTGTTGTAGCCTTACATATTAATGGTAGGTACGACAAATTATTTTCAACAACTCATCATCCCGTTGATCAACTACGTTTTTCGAATCTCTACAAGCTTAATTCCGCTTGCAGGTGGAGAAGTTCTACTCCAAGAACTACTTGGACAAGGAGGAAGGGCTAGCTCGGCTGAGGGCTGAGCTCACCGCGCCCACCACGGGCAGCACCAAGACCTCGCCGAACAAGACCGCCCGCGCGGCCGCAACACTCCTACAGAGGGCGTTGAGGGACAAGGTCTTTTCGGTCTACAGCCAAGCGAACGAAGTTGTCATAGCCCTGTTCAAGGAGTTTGTCCCGGACAGGTGATGAACGTACTTTGTCTTTTTTTCTATTTCGAACCATAATCCACAAATCTCGGGCTAGATAGGGAAGGTATCAGCGTTTTTGAAGTAGAGCTTTAGATTCTATTGAGTGTGTGTTTTATTTACCTTGTCCAGTACATCTTTTTAGGCGTGTGAACAAAACATATTATTTAATACGTTTAAAAAAGGCACGGGAAATGTAACGTAAAACCGAGTTCGGCAGCACACATACTAGGCTACGTCACTGTTCTGCTGATCAATGGTATGTTCATCAAACTGAGTGTTTGCGACATCCTCACAAAAGTTTTTACTCAAAATATTCTCTGTTTGAATCAATCAATAATTTAAAAAGCATTTGATGCTTTTATTGGATAATAATTAACGTTTTCTGTAAATGTGTATAACTTCATTATCTACCCTTTTTTGCTTTAAAGCTTAAGTAAAATTGGTTATGAGTAATTAAAATAATAAAAAACGTAATGTATGTTGTAACCGGTGTATACTAAAAATCAAAAGACTTTTGGAAAAGAAAAAAAACGAGATAACGATATCAATATAATTTATATCCTTTATATCCCTCAACAGCATTTCTTTTGCTTGAATTGTCACCCTTTTAGATGGAAGTGCGGGTATTCGTCTCTTTGAATTTTTTAAAAGGAGGTTTGTTTGCATGCTTGAGTGTTATGCCGTAGGGTCTGCGCAGCGGAGGTCGGGAGGTGCATAGACAAATTGCTCCCGGAACTGTTGCGAGCGTGCGGGGATCCGGCACCCAGGATCCACTCCACGGCCCAGCATACCGTCCTCACTGTAGCGGAATGCCCGCAAGTCCGGTACTGACTCAATAGTTATTTGGAGATAAATAACCTAATTCAAACATATCATTTGCACAATGTAACGATGACCTGATTGGTACAGTTCCTCGGTTGACAGGCTTCGGCACCGCGGGTCCCGGGATGGATTCCCGGAACAAGTAGTATGACGCCTAATTAATATTTGACTATACTTGAAACACAAAGAAAAAATCTTATCTGATTATATTTAATGTAAGATGGTGGTATCTCTATGTGGTACCTTATGTCAAGTGGTATGGGGTTGCAGTTTTTAACATTGCTAGCCTTCAAGACGATAGACCCGGTTACCTCACACAAATGAAATGGAATAATTTTATGTAATAATAATAATTGTACCTTACGTGGCTGTACAACAGTGATAAGCTTGGAAACAATGATTTTATTAAAGTTCGTCAGTTTCCCAATCCTTTCACTTGTAAAGATACACTATCGATGAATGAGTACACTCTTAGAGCCGTGATAGCTCAGGGTCCTTGCGCTCGCCTTTAATTCAATATACTCGAGCGTCCTGAGTTCAATCCCCGGTGCCGGCCCCAATGAAATTGTTAATTTTAAATGCTGACTTATCACGTGCTCAGGGGTAAGGAACTTAAGGAAACCTGCATATTTTCCAAATAATGACGAAAAAAATTTTTCCGAAGGTACCGCCAATCTGCCGTGGGTTCGCGTGGTAGACTACCTACACACTCTGTACACATGCTTTTGCCCTGCAGTGGGACATTTATAGGCTGTTACTTTACTTTTTTTTACATTCATAGCTGGAGTAACGTTAGATCATAACTTTCCAGGAGCCTGCACATTATCCCCCAACAGCTGGTGCGTCCCGTTGCCGCATCCATGCACCCAAGGCTCGCACTCTCCCGCCTTCAAATACTGGAACAGCTTATCCTTAGCCATGGCATCTCCACAGATAAAAACAGGTAATACTGCTCGAGCGACTCCTGAAAATCGCATTCCGAAAAGGATGATATCCAAATATTGTCACATAAAACAATTAAAGAATTTTATTGATAATAATTGTTTTCATCACACGATTCGAATTCGAAATGAAAAAAAAATCTGTGTAATATATTTCTTTAATAATATGTTTTAATGAAATATAGTAGTAAAAAAGTATTAAACTGAAAATCGTATCGTACCATCAAATATTATTTATTGAAAACTACTACTTGACTATTTTATAACAATAATTTGAATCCTCAACATAATATTTGACAATACAAACAAAATTTCAAATGAAAGAAGATTCTGTAATGAATTTCTGAATAACTTTTAATGTAATTTTAAAATAAAATAAAAATGAATCCTTAAAAAGTCAGTCAGGGGACACCCGGATTTGGACCGGGGGCCTATCGATCTGCAGTCGATTGCTCTTCCACTGAGCTATATCCCCGTGGTAACAAACGTCTTAAATAAGGTTCACCAGCACCTAATGACATCGTATGTTTAAATCACTACATTGGTAACATTATGCCTACGATTCTAGTGAGTGTAGGCGACTTTATTGTATATGGAAAGGTGAGTCATAGTCGTGATTAGTAATATGGTATAATTATTTCAAACATTAATTCTGAAGATACTTTTAATGTTGGTTAAAATTTGTACCATTTAGAGTCACGTCTCGGGAGTTACGCAATGACTTGTATAGTTACGCAACATGTGTATAACATTGTTATGTGAGAAGGTGGCAAACGTGCTAGCGGCTTACCTGATGTTACATGATAACTGCCGCCCATTGACACTTGCAACACATGGGTGTATATGAATGCTTTGCCACCTTTTAGCAAAGTGGTCTCCGGCTACCTTACTCACCGGACGAAACGAAGAAGTGTAACACTTCCACCTGCCGCCGGTCTTCTGTGATTTCGTGGTACTAGCCGGACGGAACTCCTGATTCGTGCAACAGTTAAGCCTGTTGCACGAATACAAGAAGCTTTTCCCAGGGCCTGCCACTGGGAAAAGTTTCTTCATATTCTGCCAACGCTATGAGGTCCAATATCTGTCTCCAGCGGTCTAACCGAGTGTGGGACGCCCACCGCGCGGCCAGCTCTTATTTAACACTTCCACCTCAGGACCGTCTTCCGGGTAAGTATATTACGCGGGTAATATACTTACCCGGGTAATATACTTACCCGGGTAATATACTTACCCGGGTAATATACTAATCGTAATTCTATTACCCGGGTAATATACTTACCCGGTTAATTTGCTTACCCGGATTTGCGCATTTGTGCAATAGCGTAGACTAGTGCGTGACCCACCACTGAAAAGCTTCTTGAGATTCTGCCAACGCTTTAAGGTCCAATATCTTCCTCCAGCGGTCTAACAGTCCGCCGTCTGGCCGAGTGTGGCGCGGCTGGCGCCCAGCACGCGGCTGGCTCGGTGCGCGCCGCTGCTGAGAGGATCCTGCTCGCCGCGTACACCAGGTCGCCCAGGGTGGTAAGAGCCCAGCTGCCCCCGGACGACGCCGTCACCAGGCGCAACTTGATATACCGCCACCTGTTCCAGCAGTTCGACAGGATCGATATGCAGGCATGTATTTATGTACGAAACCGCTTTAGCTTGTTTCTGCCTTCCCCTCCGTTATTAATGCCTTAGCGGCGGGGTTTGATAACGGATGGTTACCAATGAAATATTCAAGTTGTCAATGTAACTTAAATAAAATGTGAGTTTTCATATTACTATGGATAACTGAGTAACCCGAGTTTCAAATAAATCTACCTCATTTCCTTCTTTTTAAGGCTTTGATTTGCTTTTAAGAAAAATTTTTGGCTTTATTCCTCGAAACACATGATTTTACGTATATATTTATAATCGTGTTTCTTTGATATTGTATAATTTATTAATAAGTATTTATATTTTGCGTATTCATGAATGCTACTGTTTTTTTACTATTTCCTTTTTTTTTTGTGTACAGTTCTGTATTATTTTAGTTGATTCTTCAATATCCGTTGGTTGTGTACAATAAAGTATATTTCATTCATTTCATTCATTCATTCATGATTACTTTTAAAATTTCTTTGATTGCATTCTTTGCGTAATGAACTTTTTTTTGTTTACGTGGGGGAAATGACTATTACTACTACATTCTAATGCATACCCGCCCTCGCGCGGGGCGGGTATGAATTACAATGTAGTAGAAAACCACAAGAGCGGGTTATATCGGACTCGCACCAACTAAAATACCCCACCATGTTCCACCTCGGCGCATATCGGCACGGCCACGGAAACGCTATCGCACACTTCTGCGACCCGCCCACCGAGTGGGCTCGATGAGCCCATGCCTAACAATGCTTTAATTCGCAGAAAAAATCCTAGTATAATGACGCTTTAATTCACAGAAAATACTGAATCAAGCGCCTACAGAGGAACAGCTTCTGAACGGCGCGGACCAATCGGTAGCGGACGCTTCCCACGAGACCGCCAGCGTCACCCAGTCCACGCGCTCCGGCACGGTGTCCGGCATGACGACGTCTGGAATGACGTCATCGCTAATGACGTCATCGATCGGCGCCACCTCCTCGTACTCCCTGAAGTCAAGCGCGAGCGGAGCGACCCTGGCCCCGTCCAGTCTGAGCGGCAGCCTCACGACGTCCAGGACTAAGAGTAGCCTGAAGAAAACGCCCACGAAGAGGTACACCCCCAGTCGTACTGCGAAGGACCTCTCCAACTACCCAGGGTACAACAAGTTGCGACTCGACAGCGCCGTCAGTCCGAAACACTCGCCAAGGTCTTCGGCCGTGGGTAATGAAAAGGTGCGATACGATCTTCCAACGGTTATTAAAATTAATTATTGTTTACTGAGGCATTATTGATACACAAATACGTACATAGCCATGTGTCTAGCACATAGATGCATGAAAACATACAATAATATAGTTAGGTAGGTATACATATTTTAAAGAATACAGCGTTTTATGTATATAACACCTCATTATTTTACATCTGTCATCCGCTCACTGCTTTGAGAGATATTTCACAAAGGGGGCCAATTAATCATAAGAGAACGTTACGTCTTGGAAATATGTCGCTGCATTATTTCAAAATGACTCCAACGCCGAGCTCTTGTTAAGTTATTATTAGACTAAGCAGAATATCGTGGAGTGTTGCAACATTTTACAGTTTCATATGCTTGGAGTTTTACTATATTTTAGAATTTTTCATCGCCGCAGGTCCACTTTCAAGAGAACCAGGCCGAGGAGGTGGTCTACCGTCGCACCAACCGCAACCTGGAGAACCGGCACTCGATGATCCACTACGACCACGATCCCTCGAAGCCAAGCCTGAAAGAGCGTCCCGTTACGGTTTACGAGCCCTTGCACATAGACTACAGGGATTCCCCCACCATCGGCTCCCCGAGGACCAGCAAAAATGACCGCAGCCTCGACTCGCTGCCGATGGATTCCCCGCAAATGTCTAGGAACGACGTAAGGTCCGATTCGGACTGCAGGAGTTTGGACTCGCCGAAGATGAAGGCGGACTTCTTCAGGGATACCGGGCTGGACTCGCCCAAGCTGGTCGCCGGATTGAGGAACCTGCATTTGGAGGAGAGCCAGATGGACGAAAGTGGATATTACAGCCCAGGTTCAATACAAATGTTTCAAAACTTGATTATTATCAAGTTTAGTTTCAGTATGTAAACCTACGTTGAGGCCATATGTAAAGTTGTACGATTAATATTTGTTTTTGAAGGGTGTATGTGATGTTCAATTATTTGTTTCCTTAGTTATTTGACTTTCTAAAAAAGGTTAACGTTTGTTGATTTGTTTGTTGATAGATGGCCTGTGTTAATAAGGACTGTGTTTCTTAAAAGGAAGGAGACAGCAGTTGGCCCACAGCGAGCACCAGTACGATGGATACGAGCCTGTGGGTTTAGATGCGAGCAATGAAACGACCCCCGAACCGGTTTGCAAGTAAATGCCTCTTTTTCTCGCCTTCCATAAAAATAAATGGTAAATGTAAATAACTTTAACTCCGGCGTAATTCAAATCAAATAAATTTTAAACGATACAGTAAAATCACTTATGAATTTATCAACAAGCAGAATTCGGCGGTCGCTTCTAGTTTTCGAAAAAATAAATAATGAAATAGTGTGATTTTTACTATAGAAATCCGCCATTTTTTTGTTGTCAATATGTCCATTCAGCTCGTATTTCTTGGTGGTCATAAAAAATAACCTAACATCGAAGGTGAACCTTCTAACCTAATCTATCCGAGTCGGATTCGCTCTGTGTCGGTTCTGTGATTCATTAAATTAAAAAAATCGGAATATCGATACGTGTATGATGTCGCCCGCTTCCTATATTTATCATGTTGGCAGAACTGTGTATTGAGTTTTTGAAGTCAAACAAATAAAATGGTGGATTTCTTAGTACAAAAAACGGTAAAGGTAAATAACTTCAACTCCGGCGTAATTCAAATCAAATAAATTTTAAACGATAGAGATAAATCTCTAATGAATTAATCAACAAGCAGAATTCGGCGGTCGCTTATAGTTTTCGAGAAAAAAAATATTTAAAACTTGTTTTTTGTACTAAGAAATCCACCATTTTATTCGTTTGACTTCAAGAGTTCTTTACACAGTTCTGCCAACATGATAAATATAGGAAGCGGGCGCTATCATACACGTATCGATATTCCGATTTTTTAAATTTAATGAGTCACAGAACCGACACAGAGCGAATCCGACTCGGATAGATTAGGTTAGAAGGTTCAGGCGGGAGCGGAGCTCCCGCCTTAACCTTCGATGTTAGGTTTTTTTTTTATGACCACCAAGAAATACGAGCTGAATTGACATATTGACAACAAAAAATGGCGGATTTCTATAGTAAAAATCACACTATTTCATTATTTATTTTTTCGAAAACTATAAGCGACCGCCAAATTCTGCTTGTTGATAAATTCATAAGTGAGTTTTCTCTATCGTTTAAAATTTATTTGATTTGAATTACGCCGGAGTTAAAGTTATTTACATTTACCCAAAAAACAAGTTTTAAATATTTTTTTTCTCGAAAACTATAAGCGACCGCCGAATTCTGCTTGTTGATTAATTCATTAGAGATTTATCTCTATCGTTTAAAATTTATTTTAATTGAATTACGCCGGAGTTAAAGTTATTTACATTTACCAAATAAATTTATATTTATTTTTATTCTTTTCTTCCTGTATATATTTTTGTAAGTTATTGTACAGTATAGGTTTAGATTTATGTATGTCTATTGTATCTTATTTCGTATATATTAGTATATTATTATTATACAAAAATGCAACATATTCGTTGTTTATTTAAATATTAGTATGTAAGTTTATCATTTACACCACCTACCGTTGTCCAAATTAAAATATTTTTAACCACAAGGTTGTCTGGAAGAGAACGCTCCTTAGCCATAAGACCGCCTTATTGTTTATACCTCTTAAGTTTATAGTTCTGTAACATTTCCTTTTATGTTTTTTTGGTGTTCAATAAAGAATATAATATAACCCCTTTGCTCACTTCGAGTTGGAATCATTCTGTGCTACGCAGCGTAACATATGTGTGCCTCGTCGATAGAAACGAGTGCTTGTTTAACTTTAAAGTTTGTAGAAAAAATGGATGAAAATCGTTCCATCGCTGCAGGCATCGACCTCACGTCTTCTGGATTCGTGACCAAACCCATTATTTTTAATTTTTATTTACCACTAAGCTAAGTGACTGATAGCCACATCAACGTAAATCTCAACGTAGATTATTCATTGTTTTTTCGCATTTTTTCGCAGAAGACTTTCGTGCCGTGAAATCATTGGCCGCTTAGCTTAGTTGGTGAAGTGTCTGGGCGCGAAACTAGAAGACGCCGGTTTGAATCCCGCAGCAACGAAAGCTTTTGTTCATATATCTACATTTTACTGCTATATGTTTATTGCAGTACAACGTGCACTTGGTGCGGGCGCCGCGTCCGGTCTACCGCACTCGAAGCGCATTACTGGAGGAGGTGTGTGCTCCTCGCTCGCTGCCCCCACTGCCGCCTGGCACTGGAAGCCAGGGGACTCCACGCACATCTATTGGGTAAAGTACTTTTTGTGAAGTCATTTTTGTCCTATCTACTACCAGTGAATTTGTTTGATAGAGCTCCCTATCTATCTATCCGCTGTGGGGTCGCATGGTGGACTATGCCCTAATACAGTGGGTATAGAGGAGACCTTTACCCAGCTGTGGGACTTGTACAGCTTGTTACTTTTTTAAAGAACAAATCGTATATTAATCGTTGGGGGAAAATGTATAAGGCACCAGAACTGGTACTAACCGGGTGGACCGGAAAGGAGAACTGAAAGAAGAAGCCAGCAGATGGCCGACAATTAACCATATCCCAGCATATGCCTTGTGCCAGATTTTGTGAGATTCTGCCAGATTCATTCTTTGCTTAGACTTATAGCATAAACAAAGCGGTTTTCAAAATACAGACAAATACACATATATTTTTTAAAGTTTTTTATAGTGCTAATCTCTGCACTTAAGATTAAATATTAAAACGTAGAAAAAGTACGAAAAGATTGTCGCCGCTGTGGGAATCGAACCCACGTCTTCGGCATTCGCGGCCTGATGCTCTAGCCACTGAGCTAAACGGCTGATATCCACAGCGACGAAAATCTTAACGCCTTCTTTCTACATTGTTATTTAGCATTTGAAGCAATGCTTGACGCATCTATTGTTATATCTATTGTTATATTAAATATTAAAACATGTAGAAAAAGTAAAAAAAAAAAACGATATTCGAAATTGTATGTATGATAATTGCTATTGAAATGCTAGATTAACACAATTTTTTTAATATCATTCGGTAGAAGAATGTTCTCTCAGCGAGGGTTTGTGGAAGCCGTGCCAGAAATGCGGCGCAGCGTTGCGCAGCGATGAAAGCGAATACCACGCCAACTGTATACGTAAGTCTTCTTTCTTCTTCTTTCTCCTGCCCTTATCCCACTAGATAGGTTCGGCACAACATATCCTTTCCTTCCACTTTCGTCTATCAGCCGTCATCTCAATACTGACCCCTCTCCCAGACATATTCACTTCACGCAGTTCATCCAAATCTTTCTCGATCTTCCGCTAGCCCCGAACCACATTCATATTTATTGCTCAGTCACATAATGTGCCCATACAATGTCAACGTACCGCTCCTTATTTTCTCAGTCAATGGTGCCATTTTCAAGATTTTCCCTTATAGATTAAGTATACATGAGTACCTTGAGAATTGTTAAGTGTAATTTGGCTACATCATGCCTAATATGTACTAGGGCCAAGTTATGCATTAATGGTAGCAAAGTCGTACTGTAGCAAATGGGCGAGAGGCCATTATAAGTTTATAATAACTAATATGATAATTATACATTAAAATCTTCAGTAGATGCAATGTTTTAAACGAACCTCTTGTATGCGCGCTGTGGTTTCATCTCCACGCGAGTGAAAGATTTGTGTGACCCACAATATATTAAGAGTATCAATATCCTTTTTCTTCCTTGATTTGTTATAAAACCTCGCAACAAAGCGATTATTGCGTAGTGTGCGTTTAGTAACAATAATTTATTCCTAGTATCTATCTCCTTTTTCTTCATTGATCATATGTGTCATACATAAAGTGAACACTAAGAACAAACACAAGCTTGTAATGCCAGTTACTAGACTCCATAGAGTAAGTAATAGAGTAAGTAAATGCGCAAAACCTGCCTATTAACAGGTTTAAGAAATTTATTAAAGAAATACTTTATAAAAAGGGTTATTATAATACAAATGAATACATTAATGACAATAACCCCTGGGAATGAGTTGATCGCTCCCAAGCTATTTCTAAAAGGAAAAAAATCAGTTGTATCATTTTAGAATTTTTTGTTAAGAAAAAAAAAAATAATTACAAAAAAGAGGATACCTGCGGAGTTTCTTTCGCCTGTTTCTTCTCCGCTAGAGGAACCTCATTACGAAACGGTGGTAGATTTAAAAAAAAAATATGACTATTGATAAATGAAATGTAAGTTTCTTATGTCGATGAATAAATGATTTTGATTTTTTTGATTTTTTTGATTTTGATCGTTTGTGAATAGCCTCGTAACAAAGCGACTATTCCGCAGTACGCGAATAGTTTTAAGTAATATCTAAGCTGGTTAGGTGAAGCCTGTACGCTTTCGGCGATATTTCCATTGATACTTACTTCATTAATTGTAACTATGGTAGGGCCACGAAAAGCTACGCACGAATGGGCAGGTCCGTCCGGGTGAGTACCGCGAACTCACAGAACACCGGCGTCAAGTGGAAATATCATGTTTCCGCGTTTGGTAATGTACTGAAACTGTAATGAAATTTACAACGGCAACGCATCTGCAGTCCTGCGGGTGTTGCAGATGTCCATGGGCGGCGGTCATCACTTAACATCAGCTGAACCGCCAGCTCGCTTGCCACCTTCTCACATAAACAAAATACGCTGAAAGTGTTACGTGTAATGAACTTTTGCAGCCCTGGGCCTGGACGAATGGAAATGTCCGTACTGTCTGACGAACGTGCTGGCACGAGACCTCCCTTGGCAGCGCCACCTCATGCAGTGCCCGCGAAATCCGCGACTGACACCATCCTAGCTCAAATCGGTTGCGTAAACATCTTTCTGATTTCGTTCCTTCTAATTTTGTTTAAAAAATTCATTTTTATTTTTTAAAATGCAACATTGTTGAAGGCTATTATATTCCAAGATTTTTCGTAAAAGAAACGAAAAAAAATTACCTTGGAACCTTGAACTCGGATTATTTACAACATTTTGATTGATTTTTTTTGTGATTTAATAGGAGTGATACAGGTATAGATGAAATTTATTCGCAAAGGCATTTAAATAATTGGTTACTTTTAATAATGCATTGTTATTTTAAACAAAAGTAGGGGAACTGTGTTAGTTACAAAGGCAACACATAGAAAAGACTTTTTCAACATTTTATCCAGCCATAATATGATGTTGAAAATCTACAAACTTTAAAATAAATTATAAAAGTAGGTTGTTACAATATATATTTTACGACTTTTTGTTTTCGTTGTTACGTTGTTATACTGTAGATCGTTGTGTTTTAGTATTTAGATAATTTGTTTTGTTATTACCTCTTATTGTCTACTATTATTGTCTACTAGCAGTAGTGCATTGGTCATTTTAAAATGTTCTAATTTCAAAACAAATACTTTTAGTTACATTTGCCACTTATATTCATAATGCAAGAACGTCTAGTTACTCCCTCCACTTCTAAACTTCTAAAATATAATCTATACGATTAAACTATGTAAATTGTAAAATTTGAACTTGAGCAGGTTATGAATACAATCTTTTTTTAATTTCGTATTTTTAATCATTTACTATAAGCAATCCGTCAATTTTTAAAAATGATTACAACCTAAAAATAAATCGATCGGAAGGCACAGCTTTTCTGATCTACCACCGTCCAAAGCTTATGGATTCCGTCTTAGGTATTGCTCATGTGTTTTATTTGTCAAACTATTAAAACTACGATTCAAAATATAATTTATATTTTAACATGTAATCAGCATTGCTTTATTTCTTGAAGTGAAACTTCTTATTCTACCGATAATTGGACGAGAATAATTGACAGTGAAATTTGGAGGTACACGTCACATTTAGGTACAGGTTGTACACAAGAGAGAACAAACATATCTCTTTCTCTCTCGCTGTCTCTTCTTTTCGTTCTTTCTTTCTTATTATTTATTTCTAAGAAGTTTCACTATCCCGTGGACAGTGCTACAAACAGAGTTTTAGTTTGATCTATTTTTATTTTTTTAAGAACAGAAGGTCAATACTGTGACTAAGTAAGTACTTTGGTACCTACAATATTTCAATAAGACAGCGTTACATAATATGATTCATCTAGTCTAGAATATTGTTACCCACGTTTTATAGACATTGATCATGACTGGTTTATCAATTTTATTTTTTGTTTAACTCATTCAATTTCTGTATGTTAAACGTCGTAGTCAAATGGGTTATATCATTATTTATTAGTTTCGTAGTGGTAACATTTTAGAGCTTTTAGAATGCTACCCAAGTATAAATAAGTTAAAGTGTAGAAAATAGAATGATAGTAATAGATACGTACCTAAAATAATTGGTAAGGTATATAAATTAATTTCTAAAATCGATACAAACCAATACGGTTTTACCTACTCACTTTTTAGGGTTCCGTACCTTAAAAGTTAAAAAATGACCCTTATAAGATCACTCTTTCGCCGTGTGCCATCACCGATTTTCTCAGGAACCGGTGGACCTAGCCAGTTGAAATTTATATCAGATACTGAGGTATATAGTCCCCATTAGTTGTACAAAAGTCCAAGATCCTGAGTCAACAAGATAAAAAGATATGGGCAAATTTAGGTTTTCGCAAAAACTCGTAATTACCAAAATTTACTTAATTTTCAAATTTAGTTATTTTTCGGAGATTTCATTCAAAAAGGTCTTGCAGTGTTTCAAATTGTTTCATAAAGAAAAAACTCTGATAGGTAAATTCGTAATAGGTACGGAACCGTCAACGTAAGAGATCGTCATTCGTCGCACTTGACCGGTTTTTTTAACCTATAAATTAATTATGGCACAAGTTTGAGTTGGAACATGACAGTTAAACAAAATATTTACTGCCTTTACGCGCAATCAAATCAATTTTCATCTTGGAGTTACAAGCTATAAATAATATTTGTAAGAATTGTTGCAGTTTGTTTGCAGCACTGAATCTAAACACCATCGATTCCATCCAATTAGGATTATTTAACCGAAGGGTAATTTTTTGTCAATAATGACGTGTATTTATTTAACGTATAGAACAATGACACAGTCCATGAGTATTTAGTACAAATAATTCAATCGATCACAAAATAAGTTTTGTATTGAGAATTGTTTGCAACTACATATGAGATATGGTCATGGCGTCTTTTGCGCCTAACCTAACAGTTCCTATTATCCCTTCCGAAACACACTAATATAGGTTCATATTAAGCAGTCTTTAACGATTACCGATTTTAAATTTGTGAAATAAATTAAATTTTAGAGTAAAAACTACAATGTACAATATTTTAAAAATGATAATGCGACCATTAATCCAATCATTTGAAAAAAAAATGTCATTAATAATAAATAATAACCAAATTAGTTTCTTGAAATTACCATTGACGTTACATCCTGATAAGAAGAGAAAAGCTTTAAATATCCATACTTATAAAACAAAGTAATTACAAAGTGTTAAAAGTTTTAAACCATGATTTTTGATATCATTATTTCTAATGTTATGGTATCAATTTCTTGGTAGAAGTTCAAGTATACCCTTAACTATACGTTTTTTCATCGTGTAATACATTAAACATAGATAAGACGTTAGATTAAACAAAAATCCACATCACCACTGTGATATCGGGCATCGGGTCGAGATTAATTGGAACTGGTATTTGAGATTGAGTCTTTTGTTGTTGGTCTAGATATAAATTAGATAAGTTTAAAATTAAGGGTGGCAACGTTTAGTTTATACTCAAAAATCAAATCATCTTAATGCTTCTGCCATAATTGTATGAGCGTTAAATCATTGCGCTTCTAAAAAGAGTCCCAGAAAACTCAAAATGTTTTTGATATTTCAGAGAATAAACAACGAGTACTCTGCCATAGAAAAATATTTTTGGAATAGCAAAAATTAAATAAGTTATGTAATTAATTTAATAAAAAATTAAAAGCCCACTAGTCGTTAATAACAGTATTATAGTATAATTATAATAAATAAGGTACACAAGTTTTTGTTATGATTTTACATGGTACCGGCAACGATAGAACAACTAAAAAAACTGAATACGAGGAAACATTATCTAACTTTACCTTAACTTAAGTTCTTTATCTTAACTTTAGCTTTTTTTTAAATATTTTTTTTTAATTAGTTAATTGATGTTAACGTTATAAACCAATATGTAAATTTATAAAGCTCCATCGGTCACAAGCTTGTCATATCATATTTTTGTTGTTACATTACCTATAGTAAGCAACGTAGGCTATTATGCAAAATACTTTCATAATTATGAGAAAAGTGAAGTACCTACGTAATCCATTTGACTGATGACTTTTGATAACACTTCTATGACATGTAAGTTAATGTCATTTAATTCATTACGAAAGATTACTGTAGTTATTACAAATACTAAATACTGTATACAGTTAAAACATTAATGAATCAAAAAATAAATTGATAAACCATAATCAATGCACAAAGTACTTAATACTTACTTTCTTCTTTACTTTTGTTCGATATATGTATAAGTTCTTAGCGTTATACTTTTTAAAGACAATATCAATGTAGGTTTAACGCTGTTGCTAAATTTCATTTGATTTATCCTTTAAAATTGTTATAAAACTTCTTTAAAATATCATTATGAACAAATTAAAGCTAAACAATCGGATATATTGAAATAATGGTCACATAAAACTTAATGGTAACCCTTTTTAAATTTTATACTTGTATGTCAAGCTTTGCATTTTTCTTATATAACAAGAACTAGTAATAATCTAAGCAAGTATTAAAGTTCAACGTGCCTGCAAAAGCTTTAAGCTTTTTCTAGTAATAAATAAAAAACATTTCAGACGACCTTGATAGCTATTGCACAAACATGTTGACATATTGAAATAATTACTCTATAACCAGGATTTTTTGAGTATATACTCAAAAAATAGCTGTAATGGTTTATAATAAAAACGACCGTGTATTTTTTATTCATATATCGGCCCACATTATTGTTTAGATATTCTACACACCAACACGTAATACAAAGTGAAGTGCTCCAACATGGTTTTATTTGTATCATGTAAAAATATAGATACACTTTAAATCAAAGTTCTGCTTTGATGTATTGGGATAATAAAACCTTACTAGAGAAATATTTATAAAATAACTATTATAAAAGTAATTTCTAATTAATATTTGATTGATTTCAATTCAATCTAAAAAGGAAGCAAGGGTTGAAAAGATTGCTATTCTTTTTCTTCATGTGACTCCGTCATGCACCATGTTACTTAATATTTTAGACTATTCAAAATCGCTATTCTTAGCCACCCCGTTTTCAAATAATGAATTTAGTGAAATAGTTCACAAATAAAAGTAAATTTTACCGGTTAAAAATTAAATAAATTAAAATAAAATAAATAATAATTTGAAATTGAACAGAAAAAAATTTATTCAGTTTTAGGAAGTAGACAGCTGTGATTGGATTCTAGATAATTATTACTACCTACCTTGTGTAGGTTTTGTTTTTATATAGGTTTGATTTCTTTGCACACTACGTATTCTAGAGACTGAAATGAATATTTTGTTCAATACGATTCAAGATGGCAGCATTTATAATCCTATGCTTATTAGAATCTTAATAAGATTGTTTGTGTGCCATATTTATATTAAAATGTGCAATATTACTTTTAAGCTACCTATTTACTGAAGTTTTGTTTGTTTCTTATATTAATTTTAGTTAATTCTGGAAGGGTTTCATAGGTAGGTAACTATAATAAAATTATTAAAACTTTCGTATGACATTATTAATATAATAAGACGGCTGAACTCAGGTTAAACCGGTGTATGTACCGACTAGTTTCGGACCCACCGGATGTCTTTATCAGGGTGATTTCGATTAGTTCGTGGTCGCGCCCCGTCTCGCACTCTACTAAACTATAATTTTAAAAAGTTTAATTCTCTCTCTATGCGTTAAAAATGTTCTGCAAAAAATATTTTTTTTTTTTGCATTAATATAATGAGATATTGGAACAATTGGATATGAAAATTTAACTCTACCGAGTCCATAGGGTTAAACTTTCACATCTTAAACATTTGGGACATAAGTACTCGGTTTATGTTTTATTGAAATAATAGGAAATAAGTTTTTTGTGGTACAGGCTATTATTGTCAGGTATTGTTATTGCCCGAATTGCGAATGAGTTTAAATGGATGACGGATTGTGAATAAAGAAATTTTTTACTAGCTCTGGTGTTTTATTTACGTGGTGGTGTTTTATTTAATTAACTTGTAGATAAATATTAACTCAATTTGATGGATGAAGCACAGCCTCTCAAATGTAAAAATAAAAGACGTTTAATGTCATATGTATTTTATACCTTACATAAAAATGCATTATAAGTTATAATATAATAAATACAAATGTATTCAATTATAAGATATGTACTATTTATTGGTATTAGAAGTGTCAGGAGCCTCATTTTCTGGAGCATCTCCGTTATTTCCGTCCAAATTAGGTTCAATTTCGCTCGTCTCAGCGGCGTCCTTAGAGTTTACCTCTTCTGGTACGTCCGAGGCCTTCTTAAATTTATTTACGTCTGAAAAAAATATGTGGAAACTAAGTTGTTGCATATTTATACATATAAACTATATAAAACGCAATGAAGAAGATAACAATTATTAAATACAAGGAGATTTGAAATGAGATGTTGTGGCAACGAATGAAAAAGTATCTGAATGTATGATGATGAGTCAGTTGTAGTTGTAAAGGATGTTACAAATTTTGTTTGTTTTTTATTTAATTAGTTTGTATGATTTTTTTTTAATTATGGATTTTTTTAACTTTTATATTGTATATGATTCTTGCCAAGTAGCGTTAGAAGTGTGTTCATTTATTGTCGCGGTCGTAACGCCATGCTTTATACATCCAATTTTTTGAAATATCTTAAGTGATAACTGCTGCTTTTAATAAAGTGGGCCCCAGCTACCTCACTCACCAGACGAAATGCAGAAGTGTAACGCTTCTACTTCACGCAGGTCTTCTGTGAGATAGTGATACTTCCCCGGAAGGACCTGCCCATTCGTTTAACAGCAAAGACTTTTTGTGGCCCTGTGTCCATGTAATAGAATAGCGTTTTAGGCATTACTCTCACCATATTTACTATAGTCCGCACCCAAGAGCCTGAGATAGTGCACAGTGTCCGGGGTGGCGGTGTAAGCGCGCAGCGAGTTCACTCCCCGCCAACCCACCAGCGTCAGTTTCAGGTTCGATTCCGTGTCTCGGTATTCAAGGATGCAACTGCCGGTCGCTGTGAAACGTGACCTCGATTATACACAAGTATAAGGTACTGCTGAATATATAGCACATGTGCAGTCAGTAACTGCACATGTTTATTATAAATTAGGTACGGGTAAAACATTCCGTGACATTACATAGAGAGTATCTAGATAATATAATGACTAAATGGTCACAACAGTGTTAGTATAAGGGATCTCTTTTACTAAAACTGTTTTGATATACTTAAACATGAAGATGTAAATCATCCGGTGGTGTACCTCATTTTGTTTCAATTTTTAATGCATTAATGCAGTACTAACCGAAGTCCTTGACGAGCTTCTGGGTGTGTTCGGAGAACAGCTTGATTTCGGGCGGGTTACTGGGGTTGTCGTTCTGCAGCACCAGCACCAGGTCCTCCTTGAGGATCTCCAGCCTCCTCTTGGGGCCCACGTACGGGGATATGCTGGACAGGCCCTCTTGTGATAATCTACGTAGGACAAATCCCACATAAGTAAACAGTTAAATAGTTTAAATAAATACTAAATACGTCCCGAACTAAGCAGAGCTTGTACTATGAGTACTAGATAACTGATGAACATACTTAAACATGATTTTCTTTTGTAAATAAATACATATTAACTAACACCTATACACTAGAAAAACACTATGTTCATCACACAATATTTTTGGCCCAAAACACAATTTTGTGTTTGTTTTTGTGCTTGTAAATGTTGAATAATATCCTATAAGTATGCCACAGTGTGTTCCAAAATACAATAATTTACCAATTTGTCAACGCATCTGCAGACCCTCGGGTGCAGTTAGCAGATGTCCATGGGCGGCGATATTCACTTATCATCAGGTAAACTGTCTGCTCGTTTGGCAACTTTTAACTTAAAAAAAATCTACACTGCACTTGCAGACCTGTCATAAATAATGGACTTCAGAGATCTTTCTCACATTTTGTAGGACATAAAATGATACTTAAACTATACAATTCAAAATTATTACTGCTAAACGCATGACCAACTACCGTGCCTAATATAAGTTAAGGGGAAAATAATTGCCGTTCTTGACACATTCACAGCTCTAGTAAGTTTTACAAACAAGTGGTGTGGACAAAAAGGTGTTACTAATTCCGTCTTCAAAATAGTCGCCTCACAAGCCTAATATAACAAGCCAGATAACAGCTCTATCGTTACCGATGAGAAATTTATACAAATATACCAACCTAAAGGGGCACGTCATGTTTTTATTGTCGCATCTGACAAACGTTTTAACGCCCGTGTTAATTATTTTCACTTTAGTCTCGTTCTTCTGTACGACATCCTTCACTATTGGCGATACCATATACACATTCTTCTTTTTGCCAACGTGACACCTCGTCAAGAGGCAGGTGGAGTCGAAGTTTTCTCTGAGGTCGTAGAACTCTTTGATGGAAGGGAAAACGTCTTCCCCGTCGCCGGAGAAGAACACAAATGGATCCTCCCTGTATCCCCCCATTCTTCTCTTCTTCTTGGGCGGCTCCTTTTTATCCTCTTTCGCGTCTTCTGCCGCTCCGTTATCTATCCTCTTCTCTTCGGTCTTCTCCCAGGCCAGCTGGGATTTCTTTTCGAAAACTGCCACGAAGAAGCCGCCGGTGTCTTGATGGTGCGGTAATATTCTTATACTGTAATCGAAACATAAGACAAAACAATTTTAAACGAATCTTTGTGAATTCTAGTTTGGTTGGAGTTTGGTATGTTATCTACATATACAGGGAGACTTTTTAAAGGTGCCCAAAATTACACAGGAGGTTCAGACTCGGTAGCATAATCGTGTATTGAAATAAACAAACTTTTTATAAAAAGTTACCATTCTATTCCCTAAAAAACAGAACTTGTTAACAACTCGGTAGTCATTCATAAATACCTAAATTTTACTGTTCACGCACCCAAACGAACTTGTGTCCGTGTTAGTTATGAATGATCGCGCGTAAAATAAATGAGTTGCGTATAAATCACGCATTTTTTTGAGATAACTTTAAATGAATGTAATTAATTACTTGCGACTAATTTAAAATATTTATCATTTTTTATATAACATTATTTATGTCCAGAATTTAATTAAAAAAATGGATACATTACGAAAATCCTCCCTGTATGTTCAATCAATAATTAGCAGTACATAATTTATGATTATTTTACTATTAGTTACCATTTTACCATTAGTAGATAAATTTTCGAGGTTCATCGGCGTTGCCGTAGTCTGCTGTGTAAAGAAAACATTTTATCAGTATTTGTACAAATAAGTCGCTGTGCAGAGCAAAGGCCTCCTCTGACGAGAGGGCAGTGGCCTTATTCGGCACAGAGTATTGGCAGACTTCACATATATTCGATTCTTCGAAGATATTCAGGCTTCCTCGCAGTTTCTCATCGCGGCGTGATAAATCAGCCCTAAAAGTCACAATCAGCAACTGAAAATTGTACGTACCACCTGTCCAGCTTGTACTTGTCCAGGTCTTCGGGCTTCGGCGGGAACATCTGCGGCCTCACCACCGTCTGCCACTTCTCCGGGACATCCTCGTACCTATCGTAGAACGCCATGTCCTTGGAAGCCGGCCGCCAGTGCGTCATTCCTGAAAATGCAAGGCAACAATATGGTCACGGTTCTGATCCAAGGGGATGATTGATGGTTCGGTGGCACTATTGTCGGCTTCGCCAACGAGGGTCGTTGGTTGGATTCCCGCTTGGGGCATTTACATGTGTGGCCCACAATTGTTGCTGATCAGGGTGTTTGTTCGTAGGAAAGTCCGAGTCGGGGAGACATCAGCTATGTTTTCTACTCGTAAAAAACCCTTTGTAAAAAACCCTAGTGATATCAGCTAACCACTAGGAAGGGTGACGGTGATTAAGTTTTAATTTAAATGAGGGTGGGACAGAGATTTGACAAAGCTGCGACTAGTTTCGTAACTAGGCGGTAGGTAAACATTTGTGTTTTTTTCTTAAACCAAGTATTGTATGCAAGATTGTCGAGATATGATTAAATCGTTTGCGTATTTAAACTCGCGATAACTTAACCTACCCTCATAGCAAATTTATAGCTTCGCATTACTCTACAAAGTGAATTAACCGTAAGTTCCATTTTAAATCTCACTCTCGCACTATACCATATTATCTTTTTTTTTTTTTGAAGAATTTCGCTTTCACAAAAGAACAGAAACTACATATATCTCATAATCTTTGAAATTTTTTGTGTGCTTCAAAGTTACATAACAATAAATGCGTCCAGTATTGTTTAAAATGCTTAAATACAATGTAGATAAAATATGTTGAGATTTTCGTTTCATCAGTGTGGCAATCAGCCGTTTAGCTTAGTGGTTAAAGCACCTGGGCGCGAATCCGGAAGACGTGGGTTCGATCCCCGCATCGGCGAAAAACTTTTCGAACATTTTTTCTACAAATTTCAACGCCACCTACTCGTTGCCTGGAATAAATCACTTTTGCAATAAGGCCGCCCATTGTACTCGCTACATTTTTGGTTTTCGTTTATTTTATTTTTGGTGTACAATAAAGAACATTCGTTCACTCATTCAACTCTTTAAAAAAAGCAAATGACCCTTGTGGTACTTCAATCCGGGCAGCATGTCCGCGACGTCCACCAGTTCGATCCCTTCGCCGCTCTCCTGCAGCAGCCGATGCACCACCGCCTCGTTCTCGATCGGGTTGAAGGAGCACGTGGAGTAGACCAGCCGGCCGCCGGTAGAGAGCAACTCGCAGCCGCGTCTCAGCACGCGGTACTGAATGCTGGAGACGATGAGATTAGCAGATGGTGGTAAATAATGTTGTATAAACCAGCGCCAAAGGGTGTGTGTTAGATCCCCGCTACCGGAAAAATATTGTGTGGTGAACATGGCGCTTTTATAGTGTTTGCGTGTTTATATATGTATAAATTATGTATATTTTGAAAAGAAAAGTATGTTTAAGTATGTTTATCAGTTATCTAGTACCCATAGTACAAGCGTTGCTTAGTTTGGGACTTGAAAATGTCGTGTTAAAATGTGTCCTAGAAAAATATAGAACATAGAAATAGAATGTAAGTATCTACCAGTTGGGCAAAGCACTCTATATACATTGATTCATTTAACTGTGGTACGCAACAATCTTAGCTGTTTGTTTCGTCGCGCGAGTGAGGTAGCCGAGGCTCATTTTATTGAAAGCTGGCAACGCATCTGCAACCCTACGGGTGTTGCAAATATTTTTGCATTAATTGCAACACGGTGTGGCACGACTGGGTGTCGTAGCACTCCAGGTGAGGAGGACTAAGAAGGCTATAGGTGGGTTTCTAGTGGGTACCCATTTCTGAGTGGGACTCCCACCTGCTACTACCATTCCCATACCATACCAGGTTTCATAAAGGAGAATCACAACCAGAAGGTGGAAGTATTACGACTATTGTGTGCCGTCTGGTGAGGTAAGTGACAGAGGCCTGGTGTTTTAATAGGTTGGTCAAGCAACTGCTTCTGGCGGCCGTAATTTAACATCATCAGGGGAACCACCTGTTTGCTTGCCAACTTATAACATTAAAAATGTACACATTAGTACAGATAAAAAAAGCACACCCGTGAAGGTTGTTTCCATTTCCCGTGGACCACTTCAGCCAGATATCGGGGTTCTTGCGTAGAGTGGCGTCGCCAGAGCAAGGAACGTCGCACAAAATCCGGTCAAACTTCAACGGCTTGCTCCCATTGGGATCCTGAAACACATATATTGTCTATAAGAAAAAAATAATAGAGGACAAGACAACTGAGTTTCTGACCAGTTCCTAGATGGACAGGTCTAAATTAATGAACTTGGGTAATTTTCTGACGTGCACTACGAGCTTCAAACAAGCCTATCTTCTCAATATTTTCTTTTCGTATACTTTTTAGTATTGGCGGCCGGAATGGAGTAGTGGATAGTGTACCTGTCTCTTGCATCAGAGAGTGTAGGTTCGATCCCCACTACTGGAAAAATATTATGTAATGAACACAGTGTTTTTCAGGTCTGTGGGTGTTCAAATACCTGTATGTATTTATATACAAAAGAAAAGCAAGTTCACCAGGTACCTAGGACCCACAGTAATCCAATTCTGTAAGACAAATCAACAACTTACATTCTTATCCGTCACAGTGAGTGCTGGCATTACCGCAGAGTCGTGGTTGGTAATGAGAATACACGGTGAATTCAGACGCTTGGCCTGATGCACCAACATATAGCAGCGGCTGTTGTCGACGTCATTCGCCATCACAAAGCCTGAAATTATAATTGAGACAGACATATAACTTCAAACTGATATTATAATTTAAAAAAGACATACAAGTTCGACCGAATCGAAAATGGCGGTATAACTGTTTATGAATTGTCTGTTTGGAGAAATCAAAATAGACAATTTCAACCGCTAAAAATTATTTTAAAAACAATTAAATTACCAGTTGGAACTTTGTCTTCATCGGCATGTAGAAACTCTATTAACTGAGCTGTCTTTGAACCAGGGGCAGCACACATGTCTAGTACCTAAAATGAATTATTAAAAAAGTAAAAAAAGTAAAGTAACAGCCTGTACATGTCCTACTGCTGAGCAAAGGCCTCCTCTATACAGAGGGTATCAGGGCATAGTCCACCACGCGGCCCCACTGCGGATTGGCGGACTTCACATATTTTCGAAATATATATTTTTTTGTTATTATTTCGAAAATATGCAGGTTTCCTCACGATGTTTTCCTTCACCGCGGAGCACGTGATAAATCAGCTATTTAAATTAAGAATTTCATTGGTCACCGGGGATCGAACTCAGGTTGCTCGAGTATATTGACTTAAAGGCGAGCGCCCGGACACTGAGCTATCACGGCTTATTAAACATTCTGATAAATAATTAATCAAATGGAAGTGTCCTTAAAAATAACATTATTTAGTACTTTATAAACTCTAGAATATCTTAAAATATTCTACTATATAAGAACTCAATACTTTCTTATAATCCCCAGTAGAGTTGCGTTATGGACTATACGCTAATACCGTCTGTACACAAATATTGGCTCAACAGTGGAATATATATAGTCTGTTACTATGATATTTAGTTGTATACAAAAATAATACATTTTCAGTTGTTGTGGTTACACTTCTACATTTTGTCTGGTGATTGAGGTAGCCTGGCCCACTTTGTGTGTTGCAAATGTTTATGTGCGGTAGTTATTACTTAACATCAGGTGAACCGCCAGCTTGTTTGCCACTCTCTCACATAAAAAAAAACAATTACACAGCATCATTCTCGTTTTCATTTGTGTTTAAATATTTAATGAAAATTTAATATATTGTAGAATTCTCTTTAAAAGCTTATTTATAAATGGTAAGTAACAAACCTTATGATGGGGTTCAACATTTAAAACAACTGGTGGTATCATTGAGACTGCTTCTTGTCGTGAAACGCCTCCCGCTGCGGTTTCTGCCACCAGAAAATTGTGCAGTTTGTACAATGTTTCACTTCTCCGAATATCAGTTCGGGACAACCTTAGTTGCCAGGCTAAGCCCCCTGGATACCTAAAAAGAGAATTTATTTTGTCCCTGGTTATACTGTAGCATAACATTTTCTATATTGGAAAAGCATTTTATTTACAGTATTTGCACACAAGTGAACGATAAAATGTTGATTGTATTTGTTTATAGTTTCTTTATAATTAAGAGGATTTATTAAAATTTGTAGATAAAAGTAAGAAAAGTTTTTCGCCACAGTGGGAATTGAAACCACATCTACGGGATTCGCGCCCTGTCGCTATAGCCACTTAGCTAAACGATAATCAGGTAAGAAACGAACATTTTGTGCTAGTTACAATGTCCTGTGTAAAGTATTTAAAGAAACATAATTCGAAATTTCAACGCAAACACACCATGACAAATTAATAGGTTTTATTTCCTCCTCCTGCTCCTTATCATCATTATTTATCTTCATATTCAAAATATCGGAGAAGTATTCACTCTTCACAATGTTCAACAATGCATCAGCCTCACACTTAGAACCAGTTATTCGGAATGCTGTAGGTAAATTTTCTTTTAAGGATGTCATAAAATCTGACCATTCATCTTCAGGACAAACTTTTTGAGCCTGCAAAAATGTTTATGTTATTATAAGTTAAAAATATTTATAAGTGACAGAGACATATTATCATCATCATTATCATTACAGATGGGCACAAATAATCAGACTGTACAATTAAAATTTTTCAGAAATGCTTTCAAAGCTATCCCAAATCAAAGCTTTGAGATAAATATGTATTGAACGTAATAAGCCTTGGTTGTACTAACCACAAATGTTTAGCAACTTAAAAAGCTATGCAAAATTATGTATTTGATTTGGTAACTAATATCAAATTAAATTATTATAAACAATATCAAATTAAAAAGACAAAAATATAATAGAATGTTGTTGGTTGTTTGGTTTGTTAATGTTGTTTATGTATTGTTTTGGCATTGGCGGTAATGTTCAAATTTTGGTCAGATAATTAGAAATTGTTAAAAATGAGAAACATGTGTTTGAGGATCTTGTTACTATGTATTCTCTTTCAAAATAAAAAAGTTACCTTATTGATTTCTTGTTTTAACATGAATATCAATAATATATCAAATGACACTATTTTATGGATTTTATTGAGTTTTAATTAAAAATTTTAAAACCGTTGGGGCTTCATGTCAGAGGGTTGAAGAATTTTGCAATTTCGGATTATTTTTCATATATTTTATACTGCCCCAACCACTACATTAGATTTGACTAACCGAAAATCTCCACAAAATAACACTGAATCCTCCCAAGGATGATCCACAAGGCTATTTTAATAAAGAAACATCCTAATTTCAATACAATCTCATACATACCAAATGAAAATCTGTACCATTTGTGACAAACCTATTTGTCAGAAATGGTACAGAAATGGTTCATAGAATGTATGAATAGACTTGTGTTAAATAGCAAACCTTATAATATTCTTCAAATGTTGCGTTTTCTCTTACAATATCTTCATAATGTTTACGTGTATCGGCTGCAGGTTTATCTTGGGGATTCTTCGCCTAAACATGATAATTATAATAAGTATGTCAACAAGCTGGTAAAACTTTACAAAATCTTTTTTTTATCCAAAGACACAAATTACCTGTTCCTTACGTTCTCGCTTACGTTGAGCGAATTTATTAACATTACGGTTTCTGCGACCCATTCTTTTTAAATATGTGCCTAGTGAAACTAATCTCTTCTGTGTTAAAGTTAGAACAAAAAACATTAACTATACAACTAAATGATGTACGTAGTACTAATAGTAAGGTATCTGATTACCGATATTAATATTTATTAACATTTAACATCAACACGTTCAAGTTATTAAGTTAGGTTATGTTTATATGATGACAGTTGACTCTTGACTTGACTATAGAGCAGTGCTGCCATCAAGTTTTACAGGGTGCCGTAGTCAGCCGTATTTTTAAAATACGGCATTCTGTAAAACTTTTTAATTGCGAATCGAACTCGTACTCCGAGAGTTCCGTACCTACCATTATACCGCTATAATAAAATTGATAAACAATCCTTCTGGTGGACCTAGAATTGTCGATTTTGCTTTAAAGCAAGATCTTACAGCATATTTAAAGGGAAATGTCGAAAAAATTACAAAAAGTAGAAAATTTCTTTTTGTTATCTAATATTTTTGCGAAAATCTAAATTTGCCTATATTTTTTTATCGTATATACTCAGATGACAGACATAAAACTGAAAATAAGGACAAATTTACTACGCCACTGTTTCGTCTACAAAAAGTAAATAGGTCATTCATAAGGCAAAGTGTGTGCATGTATAATAAAATCCCACAGTCGATATTAAGTCTGTCGCTTGATCAATTTAAACGTAAAATTAAAAGTCAACCTAGGGTTAAAGCATATTATACCATTGCGGAATATCTCGACGATGCCAATGTGTGGATTTAATACTGTTGATACTCACGTAGGTTAGAATAAGACTATTATACCTGCATGTTATATTGTAAAGTGATAATTTTGAAAAAGAGCACCTGTTGAGTTTATTGTTGGTCTCTTTTCAACAGAAACTGCTTTTCGAACCGGTGGTACTTTGCGAACCTGTATATATAATTTTTGATGTAAAATTGTGACGATTCATAAAATGAATCGTCATAATTTTACGATCAAAGCGTAAGCGTTTATTTGAATGAATATATTTTTTTATTATTATTATAATAAAAATAATTATTATTTAATTTGAATATTCCATAGTAGTAACAGACTATATAACCTACCGGTTATTTTTTTGGAGGAAACCTAGAAAAAATATATCCACCATCGATCACGGTATAAGCTGAGGTTTAAAACTTCTATCTGGGATTGTATCGCCACGAAACCCATTGTTAATTAATGTTCAATCTCTCCTCTCTGTCATCAACAGGGGTCTGTTTTCGTGGTGCACAGTGCACCAGCTTCGTTGTTCTCTTCCTCTTCTATTAGTCCGTAGGTCATCCACAAACATAACACTACGTAGAACAGCTGATACCATCTAATTTCGGAAAAATACATTTTAAGTGTGGGTAGAAAAATGATAGTACCTAAACAATCAAAGAGAATATAACCCATAGAGAGTAAAGTAATACTACGGTAACTGATTTATGCCACTACATCAAGCTAAACTACATCAAAACGTAGTGATTACATTCTCTTTGCACTAAGTTGTAGAGATGGGTCGTATCGCTTTTTCTGAGTACCGTATCTGAATCAGATTTCGATTTCAAATATCAGATTTCGAAACTATGTATTTTAATATCTAGATATTTTACGGTCCCGTATCCACCTTGAATTCTAAAAATAATAATAATAATAATAATAATAATAATAATAAGGCGTAGGGAAGTGACGACCCCATCGCCCACCGGCGTAACAGTTCAAGTGACAGAACTGTTGCGTCGGCGCAATCAGTCAGCGCCTTGCCAAGAGGTGTCTGCACCGTGCCTCGGCAAAAGTTAGGGTGCATAGGCCCGCCTGTGCGTATGGCCACACAATAGTGTTTCAATAGAAAACGGTGCCGGTCTGGGGGCGTCTTCCGTTAAACGACGCCCTAAATAATAATGGATGATGGACTCTCAAAGAAAGCGCATAGGGCCGCTGCCTGGGGGCCGCCAGGGCGCGTCTGGAGCTGGCGCTGGACGTAGCAGCATGCGGGACGCCAGCCGATCGCGGGGTACTGCACGACCACCATGCAGTACCTCGCATCCATCATCCCCACCAGTTGGCTTGGTGTCGGCAGGGTCCTCTCGGATCCAGCAATCGGCACCCGCCGCTGGTGGAATACGCCGCTTGCGCTGGACGAAGAAGATGAATGAGAACGCAATGCGGGCGTATCTTAGGGCGAAAGGGAGTGAAACTGGAGGGTTTGCGTATCGGGCAAGGATGCATCGCTTTTTTGCTGAGCTGGAGCCGTCTGTAACCGTCACCGAGCAAAACCTGGCAGACCGAGTTCGGTACATCACGCGTTCGAAAATATTTGATGATGCCGAACTCGAACGACTTCGACGTGAGGCTGTTCCCTCATCGGACGAAAATGCAGTAGCTGGAAATGCGAACCCGCAAGCTGGGGATCTCGCGGGGTTACAAGCGGAAGCGGAGGCCGCGTTTTACCCCCCAGCTCCTGTAGATTCGTTCGATGATGGAATAGTCGCCCAAGATATATAGAGCAGATGAGAAGCATATTGGAGGAGGCAATTCTGGAGGTGCGCGAAACGCCTCTCGAGAATCGACCACGTCTCCCCCGCATACCCCTAAGTAAGCGAAGTCGGTCTGTCGTGAGGTCTCTTAACCCGATGCTGGCAACCTATTTGGAAGCTAGCCGGGACCTGTGCGATACGGACTCAATTCTCTTTGGCGCTGCACTGGCAGTATGCCGAATCGTTGGCGCCAAACTTCCCAATTCTGGACGTGCTACCAGACCAGGTAGCACTATCCCAGCATGGAGAAAAAGAATTGAGGATCGTATCGCAAAGGTAAGGGCCATCATCGGCAGGCTGATAAGCTTCAGGTCGGGTAATAATAGGCCCAGAATTGTGCGCACCGTTAGGATGGCGTTCGCTGGGACCAATATCAACTTGTCCCAGCCGGATATTACGCAAAAACTAACGGAGCGCATAGATGACCTGAAGCAGAGGATCGCTGCTTGGGGGAAGCGGATTCGGAGATATTCCGAGAGGACGGCGCGGTTTAGCCAGAATCGCCTCTTCCAGAGTGACCAAAAGAGGCTCTACAAATCTTTGGAGCGACCAATGAGTTGTGGAACGGGCCAAGGACCGGACCAGGCAGACACTGTCGCCTTCTGGCGCAGCCTGTGGTCAGAGCCCGTAGACCACAGTGAGGGCCCTTGGACACAAGTCGTGGCGAGCCAATGTGCAGACATTACACCCATGGACCCCGTCGTCATAACACCCGACGACGTATCCGAGGCAGTCCGTAGAGCCCCGAACTGGAAAAGTCCGGGACTCGACGAGCTGCATCACTACTGGCTGAAGGGGTTCGTGGTGTGTCATGCTGTGCTCGCCCGGCAGTTCCAAGAGGCTCTCGATCAGAGGTCGCTCCCGAGCCTCTTTTACTACTGGGGTCACTCATTTGGTTCCTAAAGATCAGGTTACCACAGACCCGAGTAAGTACCGCCCCATTACGTGTCTACCTACCATCTATAAGACACTGACATCTATTCTGAGTATGAGAATCACCCGGCATATTAATGTGAATCGGATTATGTCTCGTACTCAGAATGGATGTCGGGGCGGCGGTCGTGGAACCAAGGAACCGCTTCTCATCGACGCGGTCATTGGTAAAATGGTTAAACGCAACCGTCGGAACCTCTCCGCCGCCTGGATAGACTACAAAAAGGCATTCGACTCGGTGCCCCATACATGGCTAAAGAGGGTCCTCGAACTGTACAAAGTAGACTGTACAGTAAGAGACTTCCTCGAGCACTGTATGGGGCAATGGAGTACGATCCTTTGTCATCTAGGCGAGCGGATGACGGCTGCGGAATACCGGATAAGGATACGACGGGGTATTTTCCAGGGCGACTGTTTGAGTCCAATATGGTTTTGCCTCTCCCTGAATCCTCTCATCGTATTACTGGAGGGCTCGGGGGGAGGATTTCAGCTTCGGAGAGGAGGGACAAAAGTGACCCACCTTTTCTACATGGATGACCTCAAGTTATTCGCCTCCAATCGCTCCCATTTGATGGAATTGCTTAAAGTCACTTGTGATTTCAGCAATTCTATCAAAATGGAGCTCGGGACGGATAAGTGTGCGGTCCTTCATGTCGAAAGGGGTAAGGTCACTAATACGGCGGGCATAGACTTATCTATGCCCGTTAACATAAGGACCCTCTCTGAGGCTGAAACATACCGATACCTGGGTATGTCACAAAACATGTGTATCGATGAGGCTGGCATGAAACAGTCAGTTCGTGATGTGTTTTTTGCACGCCTGACAAAGGTGTTTGACAGCCATTTGTCAGGCGTGAACAAGGCACGCGCATTTAACGGCTGGGTCATGCCAGTCCTCATGTATACCTTTGGCATACTCAGGTGGACTCAAACTGAGCTCAATGCCCTGGACCGAAAAGTCCGCACAACTATGACGTCCCACAGAATGCATCATCCGAGATCGTCAGTGATGAGGCTGTACCTGCCGCGGAAGCATGGCGGGAGGGGCTTTTTGAGCGCCCTTACCGTGCACAATCGCGAGGTGTGCAGCCTCCGCAACTACTTCCTGGCGAGATCGGATGAGTCAATCTACACGGACGTCATTAGTTGTGATAAAGGACTTACCCCTCTATCCTTAGCCAACGAGCAATGGCAGGACCCGGGAGTACTGAGCGTTTCCGACCGAGAGGCCGTATGGAAGGAGAAAGAGCTCCACGGGAGGTTCTACAAGGCTCTACACGAGCCTTTCGTAGATACTGTTGCCTCCCTTAACTGGCTACGTTTCGGTGACCTCTTTGGGGAAACCGAAGGTTTTGTCTGTGCGATACAGGATCAGGTTATTAAGACGAACAACTATCGGAGATACATCCTAAAGGATGGCACCGTCGACATCTGTCGAGCTTGTCGCCATCCCGGGGAGTCGCTTCGGCATGTTATCTCCGGTTGTTCCATGCTTTCTAACTCTGAGTATCTGCATAGACACAACCTAGTAGCCAGAATCCTACACCAGGAGCTCGCTCTGAAATACGGCCTCGTGGAACGGAAACTGCCGTATTATAAGTACTCTCCGGAGGCCGTGCTCGAAAATGACCGCGCCAGGCTCTATTGGGACCGGTCCATCATTACGGACAGGACGATTGTCGCGAACAAACCTGATATCGTGTTGATGGACCGGGCACAGTCGCGGGTATTTTTGGTCGACATTACCATTCCATATGACGAGAACCTCGTGAAAGCCGAAACAGATAAGAAGACGAAGTATCTGGACCTGGCTCACGAGGTGACCGACATGTGGGGTGGTGTGCCGACCGAAATTATCCCGATAGTCGTGTCTGCGAATGGGTTGATCCCAGTCAGCCTCTCTAAACATCTGAGGCGACTGGGACTCCGGGACGGATCGCTCCAGGCTCAAATGCAGAAGGCGGTGCTCCTCGATACCGCCCGCATCGTCCGCCGGTTTCTCTCCCTTTCGCCCTAACCCTCGGCCGTTTGGTCTCCCCTGCCGAGGGCTTCCGTCTGGTTGGGTCCTATTTATATATGTATTATATAAAATATTTATATATATATGTTTATTTTTATCCATAATATTTATTTCATATATGCAATGTATATCTATATCTTTATTTTTATTTTTATTTATAAACCCAACCAGACGAGAAAACAAATGAATATCCCCCATAATAATAAAAAAAATATTTCATTAAAAATAGAAATTGAAGTAATATAAAAATGATTTATTTCAACATCTTATATATCGCTTAAAATAATTAAGTTTAACATATTCTTAGAACACGCAATTATTAGTGACAATATTTTTATAATTTGTGTAAGAAATAATACATTCAGTATTATAACTTAGGGCGGAAGAATTTAAAATATACACACAAAGCACATAAGCCTTGGTCTTATTTCCACCCAAGCAGCACAGCACTATTAAATTATATTTTTCTTTTTGTGTAGTTTTACTTTTTTTCCAAAAATATGAATAAAATTTAACGAATAAAAATATTCACAAAAAATTTACCTCCTAAAAATTTTCCATTTATATTTTTCTTCCTTAATTTAGACAGAAAATTCTTAAGTAGTAAGTTGGCATCCCTTACTATTACGTGCTAGGTACCAATGCAATCCAGCTCAAGGTTAAACAAAATTTAAAGACATCGTTAATAACGTAATTCGTGTTTTTTTCCATGCTGTTAAGATTCAAAATTACTTAACTACGCGCTTTGTCGCCCGTTACGGCTCAAGGCTAAACAAAACAATAAAAATATACTTAATAATATCATTGTAGTAATCGTTGATACCATGATTAGTATTTAATTGAAACGGATCTTATTGGCATGGTTTTAAGATTCAAAATTACTTAACTTATTCAAAATATCTGTTTAAAAATCTGATATTGTGCCTTGCTTGCCGTACTGCTCTAACTAGTGTAATATTTGTATCTCACGCGCTTTGTCGCTCAAAATCTGTTTAAAAATCTGATGTCGTGCATTGCTTGCCGTCCCGCTCTAACTAGTGAGTATTTACATCTCACGCGCTCTGTCGCTCGATATCTGATATCGTGCATTGCTTACCGTCCCGCTCTAACTAGTAAGTATTTATATCTCACGCGCTTTGTCGCTCGATATCTGATATCGTGCATTGCTTGCCGTCCCGCTCTAACTAGTGAGTATTTTTATCTCACGCGCTTTGTCTCTCGAAATCTGTTTAAAAATCAGATATTGTGGCAAACGCGTATGATATCACGATTCGTGTCGGTATAGCGAGCGAGCACGTTACATCAGATTTCGGAAATATCAGATATTGTAAAATACATAGATATTGAACGAGCCAGTAAGCGATATTCGGATATTGTACTAATATCTAGTTTTCATATCTGATACGATATGTATCGCCCACCACTACTAAGTTGCTACAAATAAAATTAAGATGACAGTTGATTGACAGATGTAAATATGTGATTATCATTAGCTGGCATTGTAAAATAGTTTTTAACTACTTGACTTAAGTTTTATTTTACTATAAATTGTATTCATTATATTGATAAGATGATAATGAACAAATAATGATTAAAAAATATTGTGCACATTTATCACACCGTCTTCTTTATTTTCCACCGACACACCGTACACACGCTACCGGAGGTAAGCTCAATTAAAAATATTTTTCATTTTTCATGTTCTGTTCAGTTGATGATAATAGTCTCAGACCGCATCGATAAATAACTTTCTTTTACTTCGATAATAATATTTAGATTATATTCAAACTTTCCGACTTATAAAGGAGTAAGCAGAAGTGGCTCTTTGGTTTTTGATATATTTTAACACTCACAATAACATCAAAATTTTAAATTATGTACCGTTTTCCTTCTCATCACAACATATTATCTATTCTATTTATCTCTTGCCATTTTTTTACGATTGCAATTTTTACCAATAAAGAATAATGTTGCTGATCAGTAACTCTTTTAGAAAATGTTTTGGAAGCTTATGGAATTAAAATAAAATTTATTGGGTAAGCACACTGTGATGTCTACCTCACAGGAGCTGTAATCTGTATAAAAATATCAGTACCTCAAATATCTTCATAATTTAGCCGATTCTCAAATATAACATTGAGACATAACTGCATATTTTTACAGGTCATATGCAATGAATCCCAATAAAGGATTTAAGTTTGCTATTGATAGAGGTGGTACATTTACAGATGTATATGCCCGTTGTCCAAATGACAAGGTGCGGGTAATGAAATTACTATCTGTAGATCCACAAAACTATGAAGATGCGCCTAGAGAAGCTATACGAAGAATATTGCAAGAGGTTTGGAAGTTTTAATAATAAATTTACGTAGTATAGAAAAAGACCTTAAATTTGATATCATTTCTAAATAATTTATATTTATAAATAATAACTTAAAACATATTTTTGATAATTTATCTATTAGACTTGTTTTTAAAGTCAAATGTTAAAAAGTAGTATTTTATATAAAACATAAAATGGTAATTTAATGTTAAATTTACTCATATGATACAGGAGACAGGTAATGCTTTGGACAAAGATGGAAAGGTAAATTCAGGTTTGATTGAGTCAATACGAATGGGAACTACCGTAGCGACAAATGCATTGCTAGAAAGAAAGGGTACAAAAATGGCATTGGCCATTAATAAAGGGTTTAAAGACTTATTGTATATAGGAAATCAGGCAAGACCACATATTTTTGAGTTGGTAAGTTTATTTTCATTTTGAGATTAATTTTTACCTTTTTAGTGCCAATCTTCTGCACTCAAGATTAAAAAACTTACAATTTAAGGTTTCTTTGTGCTTGTGGTTTGCTCAACTAAAATAAGGAGATGACATTTATTTTCATTATATTTATTAGATTTATTATCATTATAATATGCTTTTAACATAGAATAATTAAATTCATATATTCAGATAAAATTTTACCGTATCAATTACTAAAAAGCAAATACTATATTACTAAAAAGACATGGGAAATTTATGTTTGATATTTGATTAGGTAGGTTTAAAATCCTTTGCAAACTAAACATTATACTTCATACATAGTTTTCCAACACAAGTTTTATCACCTCTCAAAACAAGTTTTATTTTAATATAAAAAGCAATCTCGTAGTGCGATTAGAAAGACTGAAATTTGTTTAATTTAATGGCTTATTACAAATTTCAGAATATAAAACGTCCTGAGGTCCTATATCAAGATGTTGTGGAAATTGACTGTAGAGTGATACCAGCACTAGAAGACCGATGCAATATTGATAAAAAGAAATTAAACTGGAAAGAAGTATTTGGTACAACAGGTCAGAAGATGTTGGTCACGAAAGAAGTGGATGAAGATGCGGTACGAAGAGATCTAAAGAAGTTGCGAGAGAAAGGGATCGAAAGTATTGCTGTCGTGCTTGCACACAGCTACACTTACCATGATCATGAAATTAGAGTAGGGAAGATTGCAACAGAATTAGGTGAGTATATTGATATTGTTGTAAGGATTTTTTTTATTGTTTCTGTACAGTAGAGTATTAGAGTATAGAGTATTACATATAGCTTATTACTAATGACTTTAATCTAATAATATTGTAAAATAATAAATGTGTGTAAAATATAAATTAAAATTAATTGTAGTTTAAGAACTTTTTTTAGCAGGGTAAACAGACTCCTTTTCGACTTACTACTAGACCATTACCTGTTATTAGCATATTCATCTGAGTATCCTTATAAAATATATAGCGAGACAATGTAATTCAAAGTTCTAAGAACATCTCTGTTTGCTTGATGATAAAGTAATTAAAGATAATGTTTCTTGTATGTAGATGTTTAGCGAGATGGCATCATTGACATTGAGCCATGGATAATTGACAAATATTTATTGATGAGAAGAAATGAAATATACAGTTAAACAAATATTAAGAAACTGATATAGCTAAAAAGATAAATGTATTATTATTCGGAAACCATCCCGAATTTTACATTAAAGTATAAAACAATAGGGTTAACCAAAAGATAATTATTTCTAATCAGGATTTTTTTTGTTAAAAAAGTTAACCATATTGTTATTGATGAAATAATCCGTAACTCGTTTAATTGTCGTAACTCGTTTTTTAGCAGCTAGTTAGTAATTGTAGGTACATATTAAAATTGCACATTTCTTAAACAAAGGTAATATTAAACTTGTTTACGAAATGTGCAAGCACAATTACTAATAATAAAGAATAGTAAAGTAGCAAGACATAAATTAAACTCTATAAATAACGACAAACTTACTACGCCATTGTTTCGTTTACAAGAAGTAAATAGGTCATTCACGGGGAAAAGTATGCGCATGTATAATTGTATAATAAAAGCCCACAGTCGATATTAAGTCTGCCTCTTGATTTTAGCTTGAATGAATATATAGGCAAAATTAAAATAAAATGGTTAAAGCATATACGTTGGGGAATATCTCGACGACGTCAATGTATGGAATTAATACTGTTGATTTATTTTGGCCTACGTGAGTATACACGTAGGCTAAAATAAAACTAGGTATTATACCTATGTTATATTGTAACAAGAACTTTTTTAAAAAGAACAACTGTTGAGGTTTTTGCCGGTTACTTACGAAATGATGTATAAATTTTTATGTAGCCTTCGACGTCTCATAAGAACAAGCAAACGTCTATTTGAATAAACAAAGATATTTTATTAAATACGTTTGACTAGACGAGCTGGTCGTATTTCAGGATTCAAGCAGGTGTCCCTTTCACACGCGGTGACGTCGATGGTCCGGATGGTGCCCCGCGGCTTCACCGCGTCCGCGGACGCTTACCTCACTCCTCACATACGCGAGTACGTCAGGGGATTCGCTGACGGGTTCACTGACGGCCTGAAGGGCGCGAACGTGCTGTTCATGCAGTCGGACGGCGGACTGACGCCCATGAATTTGTGAGTGAAATGTTACAATGAGATGCTTTTCATAGATGCTATTAAGCCTAAGAAGTACTACAAGTTTTGCATTATGAGTTTTTATTATGACTCATATTGTGCATAGATCTTGCAATAAGGAAATCAGCAGTTTAATATATGTACCATGATAATTCAAAAGCTTATAAACGTCTAAGATAATAATGGTATTATGTGTTTACGCGAATATTTCACATGCTTAAACTAATTATATTTTAAGTACATTATCGAAAATGCTTAAACAATTATATTTTACGGATTTTAACAAGTTTAGTTTTGTTTTTAAATATCCGAAGTGTTGCCCGAATAAGCACATACCTAAAATAGTTTTATGAAAGCGTTTTCGATATACGTTTTAAAAATGTATTTTATCTGTTTTGCAGATTCAACGGTTCCCGTGCGATTTTATCTGGGCCGGCTGGTGGTGTAGTTGGATACGCTATGACGTCATATCAGAAGGAGACGGGTTTGCCAGTAATAGGTAAGAGCCGGCAAAAGCGTTTTAGAATATCTTAATTTTTTATTTTTTGGACATATTCCCATTCCATATATCCATTTCCTGCAATGAATTATATAGGTACTTAAACATACTTTTCTTTGTAAATAAATTCATATAGTTAGTATGTAAATACCTGTGCACTAGACGACTATGTTCATCACACAATGTTTGTCCAGTAGTAGAGATCGAACCCACAACCTTCTGTCTAAAATAGAGGTTTATCAGGTGGTGGAAGCTGTGATAATCTACCTGCTGTAAAAACTCTTCTTTCCATGTATGTGTTTTTAAAGTTTAAAAAAGTCTTTATAAAGTAAAGAAAAGTAACAGCCTCCTAAGGCGTTCCCTGTACAGAGGGAATTAGGGCATAGTCCGACTACGAGATCCCACTGCGGATTGCCGACTTCAAATAACTTCGAAATATTTTTTTTGTTATTATATCGAATTTATGCAGGTTTGCTCACTATGTTTTGCTTCACCGTTGAGCACACGAATTCAGAGAGATTAAATTAAACATTATAAACAATTTCATTTGTTAAATACATGGTATTTTACATCTATGCAGTCTGCTGGAGAGCAGCGGATTCTAACAGGATGAAATGATGATGATGATGATGATGATGGTGATGAATATTACAACTATGCTTGTTTAAAATATGTCCTGTATTCATAGGTTTCGACATGGGCGGCACCTCGACCGACGTGTCAAGATATGCTGGTTCTCTCGAGCACGTGCACGAAGCGACCACCGCCGGTGTGACCATACAAGCTCCGCAGTTGGGTGAGTATCATCGAATCAGTTTTTTTTACTCTAAAGGTCGCACTCAGAGTTTGCAATTAGCGCTTAACTTATTTTTTTATTAGATTTGACAAAACGAAATACCTGTATTCGGAATGTGGAGTCTTATCAATTAACTTTGAAATGCGCTAATTAGCTATTTTAATGCTTGCATATAGAATTATAGAATTTATAAATTCTTAATATGAGGAAAAATCCGTGAATTGCTTTCTTTTAGATTGCGAATTAGTTCGATTCTGGATTTCGAACGTCGTTTGATTTGCTTACTAGCGATAGGCATTTGACATTAGCTCCATAATACTGCCGTAAGTGACCACAAGTTGACATTGCCCCGCCGCGAGAAGAGAGGTATATTAGTGCGACCTCGTTGCAGACATAAACACAGTGGCGGCCGGCGGTGGGTCGGTGCTGTCCTTCAGCTCTGGTCTCCTGGCGGCCGGGCCGGAGTCGGCCGGGGCTCAGCCCGGCCCCGCCTGCTACCGCAAGGGGGGCCCGCTCACCGTAACCGACGCCAATCTGCTGCTGGGTGAGAGGCATCTCGTTTGGTGTCGAGGGTGTAAGGGTAAAGTGGCGGCCAATATATGACCAATATATGGCCAATATATGGCCAATGTATTGGAGGTCGTGGGTTCGAATCCCACACGGGACTTGTGTTTGTAAAACGTCCTTACAACGCGCGGTAATGTTATCCTAAAGAAGGGGCACTATTTAAAAAAAAATGTTAAAAAAATATGATATCCTAAAGTAAGGGCACTATTTAAAAAAATTAAAAAAAAATATGTCCCACGGCTGGGCAAAGGCGTCTTCTGTACAGACTTCGAAATTAATTTTATTATTTCGAAAATATGCATGTTGCAACTATACTCGTTTTGCAAATGTCCATTGGCGGGTGATGCAAATGTCGGTTATCACTTGACATCAGGTGAACCGTCAGCTCGCTTGCCGCTTCCGCACATAACAAAAAGAAACATTTGTGTTTTTGTAGGTCGCCTCTTGCCCGAATATTTCCCGAAAATATTCGGTCCCAATGAAAACGAGCCGCTTGACAAACAGGCGACCGTAGAAGCATTCAAGAAGATTACGGAAGAAATCAATTCTTTCCTGAGGCAAGATGGCGGGAAAGAGGTATGTCACGCAGTTACACATATAATTTCACATTCATCAAAAGACCGAGAAAATTTGCTGTCTCTCTTTACCCTTTCGATTAAGAAGGTTTGAGATGTTGTATTTGTTGTTGTCATTACACTGTATGAAATAGTGGCCAGATAAGGAATAGAGGCCCATAGCCCAATTTTCAAAAGGTTGTCAACGCATCTGTAAACCTCGAGTGTAGCAGATGTCCATGGGCGGCGGTATTCATTTAACATCAGGTGAACCGTCTGCTCGTTTGACAACTTTTCGCATAAAAAAAAAAAAAAAAAAAAAAAAGAGGAATTCGGTTATTGATTTCTGGTTCAAAGTGTAATACACTGTGGTAGGGCATTTGTGCAGTGGACACGCCCGTCCGTGGAAGTATCACGGCTTTTAGTTTCTATTTTAGTTTCTATGAGAAAACTGGTGTGAAGTGTAAGTATATCTTGACGTTCCGTCTTATGTGTGAGTGACGCCCACTGAATAAAAGGTTGGGAACGCATAGCTGATTGCAGCTCCAGGTGTCTTACCACCTTGTCATGTCACGTAATTAAATATTGTCTGGTGCAAAACATTCGTCACATTTTATTAATATAATTAAAAGTATATAAAATAAATATGCACGTACTGAAATCACTTTACAATCCCCCTTTGTGAGAGACCGGTATCGAAATTAGGTCACCTTGTCTGGCAGACTACCAGGCCCTACACGAAAAGAAAGAAGTGATAAAATATTGAATTTCAAAATGGAAATGAATGAATTCAAAATAAGAGAAAAGGTAGGGCCACGCAGCAGCCTCGGCTGTTGCACGAATGGGCAGGCCCGTCCGGGTAAGTACCACGACCTCACTTTCGTTTCGTCTGGTGAGTGAGGTAGCCGGAGCCCAATTTTCAAAAGGTTGTCAACGTATCTGTAACCCTCGGGTGTGGCAGATGTCCATGGGCGGCGGTATTCACTTAACAACAGGTGAACCGTCTGCTCGTTTGTCAAGTTTTCACGTAAAAATAATTAGATAATGTGTAGAGGTTGTGTGAAGTGAATATGTTTCCATCGCAGATGACGATGGAAGAGGTAGCTATGGGTTTCATCGACGTCGCCAACGAAGCCATGTGCCGACCAATCAGGTGAGCCTTCGAAGTGACGTCAGAGTAAACTCTGAGTGAAGTTAGCTCCGAAAATTCCGTGCACCGCATGTACAGTCGAGTGCAAAAATTGCTTCATTGTTCTTGTCTTAATCTTATCTGAAGCACAATAAATTGACGTGGGGTTAAAAAAGTTTGGGAACAATTGTCTGTATTTCATACAAACTTGTACGGATGGGAAACGAAGTCAGGACGTCGTAGTTTCTTTGATCTAAGAGCACTAAGAAATTTCTCAATTCTGCCTTGTTCACTCATTAAAAAACTGACGTTTCCGTCACAGCGAGACTTAGGCGACAGACTGATCGATAGTGGGTACTGCCCTCTCGTTCACACTGTCGAGCAACGGTCTTTCCCGCTCCCACATTATACATCTGTGAACATAATTCTATTTGCCGGTTCTATAAAGCGACTGCTTAAGCTGTAAGATACTCACAAACTCCCAGCGCCCGTTTAAATTTAACATCTAAAACTTTTCTAATTCAAATTCAAAATTCAAATCATTTATTCATCGAAATAAGAAAGATGCATTACCTCTATCGATAGTCATTTTTTAAATCTACCACCGTTTCGTAATGAGGTTCCTCTAACGTAGAAACTCCGTAGGTATCCTCTTTTTTGTCATATTTTTTTTCTCAAACAAAAATACATTGTTATACAGTACAATTTTTTTAATTTAGAAACAGCTTAGGAGCGATCATCTCATTCCCAGGGGTTATTATCGTTAATGTACTCTTTTATATTGTAATAACCCTTTTTAAAAAGTTTTTCTTTAATAAATTTCTTAAATCTGTTAATAGATAGGCTTTGCACATTAACTGGGATTTTGTTGTAGAAGCGTGTACACCGTCCCATGAACGAGTCACTGACTCTGTGGATTATAGTAACTGGCTTTGACAACCACTTCTTCTTTCGGCGCTGCGGCATTCGAATCTACGTCTTTCAGTTTCGCGCCCACACGCTTTACCAACTAAGCCAAGTGGCGGATGATCTCACGCCGCGAAAATCCGAATCAAACCGCAACATCTATCTACATTCTTTCTATTGCATTTTTATCAATGCTTGGCGCCATCTAGTGTGGATCCTTTACAGTATGTAACTATTTATTATTCATCTACTTACAAAAACCCACAGTTTAAAATTTCATCGTTAGCTATTAATAGAGTTCCGCAACTTCGGCAACTATAATACTTCTTCGATTTAGCCCCTCTTAATACAGTTTCGCAACTTGGGCAACTATAATACTTCTTCGATTTGGTCCCTCTTAATACAGTTTCGTAACTTTGGCAACTATAATACTTCTTCGATTCGGCCCCTCTTAATACAGTTTCGCAACTTCGGCAACTATAATACTTCTTCGATTCGGCCCCTCTTAATACAGTTTCGCAACTTCGGCAACTATAATACTTCTTCGATTCGGCCCCTCTTAATACAGTTTCGCAACTTCGGCAACTATAATACTTCTTCGATTCGGCCCCTCTTAATACAGTTTCGCAACTACGGCATTATAATACTTCTTCGGTTCGGCCCCCTTAATAGAGTTCCGCAACTTTGCCAATCCGCAGGGCGTTGACGGCCTCGCGGACCGACGGTTCAACGAACGGCCGTTAGTTACATAACTTTGATCACGACTCGTTGTAACGACTTCACAATGACAATGTAAGTGACCCGCAGGGCGTTGACGACCGCGCGGGGCTACGACGCGTCCGCGCACGCGCTCGCCTGCTTCGGCGGCGCGGGGGGGCAGCACGCCTGCGCAGTCGCAAAGCAGCTCGGCATCGCCACCGTGCTGCTCCACAAATACGCCGGTCGGTGGACCGGCGGCGGTCTTTTACTTGGTTTTTTTTATTCCTTTATTTAAAAACGTTGCCCTCACTTTAGGATAACGTTGTCCTGTGCTGCAAGGACCTTTTACATACATAAATTTCCCGTGGACAAACACCCAGATGCGAAACAGCTATCTGTGGGTTACACAAATAGTTGTCCCGTGTGGGAATCGAACCTACGAGATACGACGCCGAAGCCAATACCTTGACTAATGCGCCACGGAGTCAACAATGTTTTTTAAGGAAGAAAGAAAATACATTTATTTATCAATGAAAGGGTTGCACACAACCGAAAAAACTAAGTTTAACATAAAAGAGAAAAAAAAACTCAATAGTAATGTACACTGCAGTAAAATCAAGTTTTTTATGTGAAAAGTTTAAAATAAAAGTTGTTTTTATTAGACGACCCGATTGGCCTAGTGGGTGGTGAAACTGCCTCTTGCGCCAGAGGGTGTGGGTTCGATCTCCACTACTGGAAAAATATTGTGTCAGAACCATAGTGTTTTCACTGTCTGGGTGTTTTATATATTTATGATATGTATTTATTAACAACAGAAGCTAAAGGGACTACAGCAAAATGTGCCTTGAAATATTTACTTATTGATTTAAAAATTGGCAAATGAACAGGTGATTGTGAATGTTGTTAGTAGATTACCGCCGCTATGGACGTCTACGATACCGGAGGGATTGTGGGTGCGCTGCCAACCTATAATAACGACGGGTCCCGGCTACCATTTGTGGTAAATTCTAGGCTGAAGACACAGTCTGTTATGTGTACGAGACTGTGTCTTCAACCCAGAGTTTCAACACGACTTGTGATACTAGAGATGTTGCTTTTGTGTAGGGAATAGAGCAAAGGAAAGTACTGACACTTGGGGAACACCCGCTCTCATAAAGCGGGGGCGCGATAGTTTTCCATGAACTCAAACGCACATATCCGCACTGTTGACGCCATGATTTCAGTAACACTGAAAGCAGTTTTATTGGCACTGCCTCATATGGCATTATAATGCATGGCTTTAAAATAACGTATAAAGACCCTTTACTCTATTCTATCCTCTTCTTTTATGTCCTAACGCAGGCATTCTATCCGCGTACGGCATGGCGCTGGCGCACGTGGTGCACGAGGCGCAAAGACCGTGCGCTTGCGTCTACTGCCCGCAGCAGTTCGCGAGGCTGGACGCGGAACTGGACACGTTGGCGGCGGTCTGCCGCGACCAGCTGCGCGCCCAGGTACATTCGACGGCGAGTCGCTATGAGCTCCTCAGGTAAAGTGAGGCTATCTGATATGAGGTGGTAAGTCTGTACTTACCACCTCATATTAGATGGGTTGGATGTTGTTACGGCCCTGTGGCCAATTACGGCCACAGGGCCGTAATCGGGCAACCTGAGTTCAAGCTTCAAACCCCGATAAAATTGTTGACTCATCACGTTCTCAGCGGTGAAAAAAAAATGCTGCAAAATTTGTGAAGTCTGCTAATACGCAGTAGGGTCGCATGAACTACGCCCTGCACAGATAATTTGGTTAAATTAAAACTGGCGGTTCACCAAATGCTAAGTGATTACCGCTGCCCATGGAGATTCGCAACACCAGCAAATGCGTTGCCATCTTTTTCCCATCATGTTGCCATAATTTCTTGGATTATTTTTTTTTTGTGAGAAAATGGCAACACCTTGTAAAAACAAACAACAACATGTTTGATGTTTTTGTAACAAAAAATATCCTTTGCTAAGCAGTGGGACATATATTGCCCTTATTTTTTTTAAGTACAGTGGACGGCAAACGAGTGTGCGGTTCGTTAGTGTTGTAAATGTAGACTACATTCAAATAAGACACAATAAAATTCGCCCACTCGTATCGGTCCTGCAATACCAGTGCATCCCTTCAGGGCTTCGACGACACGCAGATAGTCCTGGAACCGTACCTGCATTTGCGTTACGCGGGAACGGACTGCGCACTTATGGTCGCGCCCGTTATGGACACCCGATCCCCCACCTCCTGCGCCCACGGGGACTTTTACGCGGCGTTCATAAACAGGCGAGTTTAATGATAATTTACATACGTACACATTACAAATGAAATCTACGGTGGCAGGGCCACGCAGCAGCCTCGGCTGTAGCCCGAATGGGCTGGTCCGTCCGGGTAAGTACCACGACCTCACAGAAGACCGGCGTAAAGTGGAAGCATGACAAATACTTTCGCGTTTCGTCCGGCGAGTGAGGTGGCCGGAGCCGAATTTTTTCAAAAGGTTGTCAACGCATCTGCTACCCTCGGGTGTGGCAGATGTCCACGGGCGGCGGTATTCACTTAACATCAGGTGAACCGAAAGCTCGCTTGGCATCTATTCACATAAAAAAAAAAAAAAAAAAAAAACTGAAACTAATATTAACAACATTGAGAATTCTCGAGGTTGATACGGATTGTTGAAATTTTAGCTCTATTCCCTATAGGTATAGGAACGAGTTTGGCTTCACTTTGGCTGAAAGGGACGTTATAGTGGACGACGTGCGCGTGCGCGGCGTCGGTATGGGCCAGGTAGAAGAGCAAGTGGCGCCGCCTAGCGGGAAGGGTATCGCACCCGTAGCCGAGAAGGTAACATATACATGAATATTTATGGACTCAATTCTTTTAACACTAACGGTCCGTTAGTAAATGCATTTCACCGCGGCAGGGCCAATAAAGTGGGCTCCTGTTAGCTCGCTGAAACTGAAACGCAGAAGTATAAGTATGTAAGTATGTATATCTTATATTATGTATGTGTGTATGTATTGTGCATTAATTTGTTTACTTTATTTTATATATATGTATGGTATTGTATAGTTTTATCTTATACTAGCTGACTCGGCAAACGTTGTTTTGCCTATATAAATTATTTCTAGAGGAATCGGAACGCGTTCAAAAATCGTTTGTTAGGTTGACAGATACAGTTTGTATGGGAAAATAAAATTGTTGCTATTTCGATTTTCCATGCAATTTTTCTATAATTTCTCATAGTTTAAACCTTCCCTGGACTGCCACGAATATATTAAAACCAAAATTAGCCAAATCGATTCACCCAGTCTCGAGTTTTAGCGAGACTAACGAACAGCAATCCATTTTTATATATAAGATTATTAGTGTAGTATTTTGTTAGTAGATTTAATATGTAATGTACATATTTAAAATATTATTAAAAATCTTTTGATTGCTTTTTTTTTCTGTTTTTGTAAATTTGTAATAAATGCACCTACCCTAACTTTTCTGGACCACCCCAAGGTTGACTGGGATATAATGCTGATGGCATTAAGTCCTTTTTTGCTTTCCACACAAATGTTTGTGTAGAAAGTTTAAATAAATAAATAAATAACACCTCCACTTCTTCGACCCACCGACACGGCTTTTATGAAGAATTTGTAGATGACTTCGGCTTCGGGTGTCGTGGGTTCGATTCTCACACGGGACAACTATTTGTGTGAGCAGTGGCATTCTCTACCAGCCAACCTTAGGGCCACCACATATTCGTGCTGTTGCAGACGGTGAAGGTCTACTTCGAAGGCGGTTATCAGGATACGGCAATACACCTGTTGGAGAAGCTGATGCCCGAGCAGGTTGTCCCAGGACCCGCTATCATCATGGACAGCCTGTCGACGATTCTCGTGGAACCAGGTGCGCTTTTGGCTCCCCCCCCCCCCCCCATAACAGATGATCCAGGGCGTTACATTAATTGTCTAGTTAGTTGATTTTGCGCGAATATAAACCATTTTACTTACTTACTATTCATTCATGGCCTGTCCGTCACTCTGTCCCGTGACCATGAACGCCGGAAAGGGTTCGAAACGTCGAATAAAAAATACGTAAAAAAAGTATCATTTCACGTCGACAGGCTGTCGCGCCGAAATAACGGAGCACGGCGACATGCGCATAACGATCGGCTCTGGGAGGGCCAAGAAGGTCACGGCGGATCTCGACTCGGTGCGGCTGAGCATCTTCTCGCACCGCTTCATGTCGATCGCCGAGCAGATGGGCAGGTGGGCTTGGCGAATGAGTGAACGAGTGAATGAGCGAATGGATGTAATGAATGATTGTGATATAACTCATTGATGTATATTTTGTGATCGCGGAGCAGATGGGCAGATACCCATGAGTGATTGGGTGAATAATTGAATGGTTGTAATGAATGATTGTATTAACTTTTTAATTTTTATTAATGTTCTCGCCCATTTATTTGGATATCATCCAAATGAAAAAGTTGTGTGGATTTTGTACTGGTGATTATTATACCTGGGTAAGGTAAGATTATTATACCTATGTTATATTTTAAACTGATCTTTTAAAAAAGTGCAACTGTTGACTTGCCGGTCTCTTCTCAACAGAAAGTGCTTTGCGAACCGGTGGTTACCTTACTTACTAACTTATGGAACAATTTTTATGGAAAACTCGATGTTTTATAGGAACACGCGGAATCGAACTCAGGTTGCTCGAGTACAAGTTTTAGTTTAAAGGCCCATTTACACGATGCCATTTTCTTGTACATACAAGAGCAATAATTGAATGCAATAAATTGCGCGCAATAATTGTTAAGACCATTTGTTGTTTAGACCATGCAACTCATTTATTGCTTCAATTTAATTGTATACAACAGGCAAGAAACTGGCACCGTGTAAATGGGCCTTAAGTGTGTTTATCAGTTTTCTAGTACCCATAGTGAAAGCGTTGCTTAGTTTCTCACTTGAGAGCGTCGCGTAAAATGTGTTCCAAATGTTTATTTATTTTACACGTTTCGGCCTCGTGTCGATCGCAGGGTGCTCCAGCGCACCTCGATCTCCGTGAACATAAAGGAGCGTCTGGACTTCTCCTGCGCCCTGTTCGGTCCGGACGGCGGCCTGGTCTCCAACGCGCCCCACATCCCCGTCCATTTGGGCGCCATGCAGGACACCGTGCAGCATCAGGTCGGTCACCGTATGTGTCCCACTGCTGGGCAAAGGCCAGAGGGTGTTAGGGCGTCGTCGCACGGTAGCAGAGCAGAGTGTTCTGAACTGCATTTTTTTTTAAATTGCTTGCTTTTTAGGTGCCAAAATCTAAAATTAGGTGCTGAAATTTTTAATTATAAAAACTTTGTTAGTATTTTGAACCGCCCGCTAAAGACCTAACTGACAGAGTAACGTGAAATAATGTAATAGTACTGTCCTTTCGTAATGTTTATTATATTAATGGATTTAATAAGCAAACGAGTACAACGGTTCTGAACCGTATTTATTCTACAATATCGTACATATTAGTTTAAACTTTATAATATTTCCAGATGAAAGTTCGAGGCGACAGTTTGAAGCCAGGCGACGTGTTACTGGCCAACCACCCAAAGGCCGGCGGCTCCCACCTCCCAGACCTGACGGTCATTACTCCGGTGTTTCACAAGTGGGTTCCAAGTTAAATATAAAACACGTTTGAACTTCAATCCAATAATACTTGAAAATTTTTTTTTCAATATCCAAGCCGCCATGAAAACGATTTGTCAAGTTACGCGGATTTAATCAATGAAAGCTTACAATTGTTCCACTAGTTGCCTCATAAGTATGAATATGAGTCATGAATACCGTCATAAAGTTTTTGATAGCTTACCAGTTTATTTTACTTAGGTTTTTATTGTTTATTATGGAAAAGTAATAAAACGGACAAACAAACAAAAGACATATTTAGAAGAGGACAAAAGCTCGCGTGGTTGTTTGAGTTGGTTAGTCGACCTGGTTTTTCCTCGTTATTCTTTTTTTTTTTTAATACTTTCGATATAGTACGTCTTTTGTAATGTAAGCTTAGAAGTTCCCTTTATCATAAATTTTCCTTATAACATTCCTCCGAATTATCACGCAAACCGCTTTTTTTTTGTAATTTATTAATAAGTGTGTCTTCCATGACATTGGCAAAATTCTTTGAAGAGTGGTCATTAATCAAAGAAGAAGAAGAAGTCTCTTGTAATCCTTTTTTAAGGTTTTGCGATAATAAAAATGAAATAGTTATTTTGTATCTTTTATTTTTTGTTATGTCCAACAAAAATTTTTCCGTTACAGCTTAGAAATAATAAAAAAAAATGTTTCGACGATATGTGATGTACGCCCATCCGTGAGGGGGTCGCGTGGTGAGATGTGCCCTAAAACCATCTGCACAGAAGATTCCTGTGCCCAACAGTGGGACATCTATGGGATGTTACGTACCTTTTTCAATTTTCTTTCCTTTCTTTCTTTCTTTCCTTCTTTCTTTCCTTCCTTTCTTTCTCTCTTTCTTTCTTTCCTCCGCAGGTCCCACCCCAGGCCGATCTTCTTCGTGGCGTCGCGGGGCCACCACGCGGACGTGGGCGGCCTGACGCCCGGCTCGATGCCGCCCCACTCCACTACCCTCGCGCAGGAGGGCGCCGCCTTCAGCTCCTTCCTGCTGGTGGACGGCGGCAGGTTCGAGGAGGAGAGCCTGGTTCGAGGTAAGGAGAACGGGGGGTGGGACAGAAGGGAATTGCGTATATTTTTTTTTTACACATTTTTACACAACCTTCTCTAGTCCCAAACTAAGCAACGCTTGTACTATGGCGACCAGATAACTGATAAAAACTATTGAACATATTAAATTTGTAGAAAAAGTACGAAAAGATTGTCGCCGCTGTGGGAATCGAACCCACGTCTTCGGCATTCGCGGCCCGACGCTCTAGCCACTGAGCTAAACGGCTGATTGCCACACCGACGAAACTCCTAACGTCTTATGTCTACATTGTTTTTTTAGCCCTTGAAGCAATACTTAGCGCTTCAAATGCCAAAAAACAAACTTTTCGTACTTTTTCGACAAATTTAATGTTCAATCTTAAGTGCAGAGATTAGCACTATAAAAAAATTTAAAAGGTTAAACATACTTTGCCTTCTTAAATAAACACATATCATACATATACTAGCGGACCGGACAGGCGTTGTCCTGTACACACGACTTAAATTCGACGAATTAGATAAAAAAAAAATGTAGCGAGTCGACCTGAAGTCGCACTAGTTTACTATCACTAGTACGACTTTTTAACGGACGAAAGCAAAAGCTGTCGTAAACTTGTCACGATCCTGTCGCTTGTCGCAGAGCTGACGGCGCCCGGGAATGTTCCCGGTTGTTCCGGCACGCGGAACTTGGCGGACAACCTTTCAGATCTCAAGGCGCAGGTTGCCGCAAACCAGAGGGTGAGGTGTTAAATACATTTACTGTACACTTGCTGTGCCCGCGACTTCGTCCGCGTGGAAATTAAAATTAAAAAAAAATCTAAAACAAAACCAGCCTAAGGCTACTCCTTATTGCATCAGCTATCTGCCAGTGAAAGTCCCGTCCAAATCGGTCCAGCCGTTTCGGAGATTAGCCGGAACAAACAGACAGACAGACAAAAATTACATACAAAAATTGTAAAAAAAATTATTTTGGGTGGCTTTTTTAAAGGTGCCCAAATTCACACAAGAGCTTCAGACTCGGTAGTATAATCGTTAATTGAAATAAAAATAAAGTTTTTTTTTTAAATTGCCATTCTATTCCCTAAAACAGAATTTGTTGACAATGCGGAAGTAATTCATAAATGCGTCGTATACTTTTGAAACGAACTTGTGGGCGTGTTAGTTACGAATGATCGCGCGTAAAATAAATGAGTTGCGTATAAATCGCGCACTTTTTGAGAAAGTTCAAATGAATGTAATTAATTAATTACGAGTGATTTTAAATATTTATCTTTTTCTTATAACCTTATTTATGTCTAGAATTTAATAAAAAAATGGATACATTTAGAAATGCCTCCCTGTATGTACCGTGTATACATACATCCATATGCATTTAGTAAAGAGCGGTTATTTTAATATTACAAACAGACACTCCAATTTTATTTATCTGTATAGATATATTTTTATATTAGTTAGTTCATAGTTACATATATTAGTCATAGTTACATATATTGTATAAAGAAAACAACCATGTAGAACACTTATTTTGCAACGCTTTTTTTTCATTTGGCAATAAATCTATTAAAGTCACATTTAAATATATTAATAGAAGGCTAGCTTAAGTTTGCCCAAATCAATACGCACACTTTATTGGTGTGGGAAGCTACATGCGGAGTTATTGTAAAAAGGGGGGGGGGGGGGGGGATCGCGGAACACATATTGAACAACATACACAACATACGATTGAAACATACGCTCGAAAAACATTATCCTTCCTCGGCAGTCGGGCAAAAAGTAGTATTTTTTAAAGTTCATTTATGTCCGCTTTGTAATTGCATAGAGATTACGATGAGACGTTTTAATGAACACATCATCAGGGCATCCAACTAGTGACGGAGCTGATAGAAGACTACGGTCTGGATGTAGTCCAGGCATACATGGCGCACATCCAGAAGAATGCGGAGCTAGCCGTTCGAGACATGCTCAAGGTACACCCGTCAGCAAAATAAACTTATTTATTAATTTTTAGGGTTCCCCGTGCATTAAAACGTAAAAAAGAAACCCTAAAATGAGATCAGTCTCTAGTCCGCATTGGCCGTGTGTCACCACTGATTTTCTCATAAACGGGTGGAATGGGTGGGGCTAGCAAGTTTATTTATCAATTTTATTATGGCGGTATAATGGGTAATTACGGAACCCTCGGCGTAGGAGTTCGACTCGCACTTGGCCGGTTTTGTAGATAAATTAAAAAAAAACCTTCGGTGCGTCGGGAATCCTAATTTAAATTAGAATTAATACTTTACTTTTACCAACACTGCGTAGAATCAGATCTATCGCGTGCTTCCCAGTTCGGGATAAGGTTTGCATTTCTTTATGCAGGGATCTAGAGCGTGTCAATCATCGAATACGTTCTAAGACAGCAATGCAATGCAATCACCATCATCATCATCATTTCATCCTGAGCCAGCTAAGTCCATCGAGTTCCCGCACACCATCACAGGTGATGAGCTGTACTCCATCTATTGGGGGTCGTCCTGCGCACTAATTTGCAACGCAATGCAATCATCATCATCATTTCAGCCTGTTCGAGTCCACTGCTGAACATAGACCTCACCCACAGACTGCCACGTACCACGATCCTGAGCCACCTGTATCCATCGACTACCCGCACATTTGCACATATCATCACTCCATATATTGGGGGTCGTCCTACACTCCATGTCCAAAAAATCCTCGAATAGAACCTATTTAAAGTCGACCGCCCAGACACTGAGCTTATTTTTCCTAAAGTATGTTAACAATCTTTATAGTAAGATGATAGCAATCTTGTGGCCAATCGCTATAATTGCTCAATTATAAGTTAGGCGTTTAAATAATTGTAATATGTGTATGATGGTAGGTATAAAATGTTCGAGCCACTAAAAGAATTAACGTTGATCAAGGGCGAATCGGTGCTCGGTTATTTTTGTTTACCAAGTTTTTTTAAACTATGTTTTAACTCTCCAGGTGATAGCGAGGAATGCCATCGAAAAAACTGGATCAGCTGTGCTGAAGGCCACGGAGTACATGGACAACGGAACTCCGATAGTCCTCACAGCGACCCTGGATAAGGACAACGGCAGCGCGGTTTGTGATTTTACGTTAGTATCTATTTGTACATAGCTTGTGTGTATTCAACATAGAACAAGCAATTTTACGTTAGTGTTGCCGAAAAATATCGACATATCGATATTTTTAATTTTATATATCGATATTTTCAGCCGATAGTACATTTTTATTAACGGAAACACAACAGACTTCAAATATCTCCTCACTCACTTTACATTTGCTATATGATTTTGAGTAGTTACCTGATGCATGTCTGCAGTCTAAGCTCCTATACCGAAGAAAAGAAATCATGATGAAGCCCAAGTTATACCGAACCCAGTACAAAAAGAATTCTCCAACTTGGTTCAGCCGTCTTCGAGTAATCGCTGAACGTAATAATGAAAAAAGATTCCGACGAATTGAGAGCCGTCATCCTTTTTTGAAGTCGGTTAAAAAGTGGTCGATTCTTCCGTCAGGGGGACGGGGGTGGAGGTGTGGGGTAACCTGAATGCTCCGCGCGCCATCTCTCTGTCGGCGCTAATCTACTGTTTGCGCTGTATGGTCGGCCGTGACGTCCCACTTAATCAGGTCAGACAACCCATGAGCTGGTCACCAATACCTTAAGACTGTTCGAATGGGCAGATAATATATTATAATATTTCAGGACACAACATTCTCTTGTAACAAACTATATACAATATACTATTCAATATACTCGAGCAACCTGAGTTCGATCCCCGGTGCCGGCACCAATGAAGTTTTTAACTTTAAGTGCTGACTTATCACGTGCCCCGCGGTGAAGGAAAACATCGTGATGAAACCTGCATATTTTCGAAATAATAACAAAAAGATATATATTTAGAAGATATGTGAAGTCCGCCAATCCGCAGTGGGGCCGCCTGGTGGACTTTGCCCTGATACCCTCTGTTTAGAGGAGGCCTTTGCCCAGCAGTGGGACATGTATAGACAATACGATCATCACACAATATTTTTCCAGTAGCGGGGATCGAACCCACACCCTCCGGCGCAGGAGGCAAGTATATACTACCCACTACGCCATTCGGGTCGTCAGAGTAGATAGAACTATAGTTTTTTTTGCCGCTGCCCACGCACATTTACAAAGCCTGTAGAGTTGCAGATGCGTTGCCACCTTTTAGTAAAAAGTACCTTTGACAACCTCGGCTACCTCGCTCACCAGACAATACTTAGAAGTATAACATTTCCACTTCACGGCGGTCTTCTGTGAAGCCGTGGTACTTACCCGGACCTGCCCATTCATGCAACATCAGAAGTTTACCATTTATCATTTTTTTATTATTAAATTGTGTTATAAATATTAAACCTGTCGATGTATTGTCATTACTAGCCGTATACTGCTTGTGTCGAATAAACTGGAATAAATTATAAACATATGTTTATTTGGGCGATTTCTTATGAATTTTCGTTACTCCAAATTAACAGGGCTGCTTGAATCCTATAAAAGTAATAATACCGACGGGATCGATCCTCGATCCGTCTGAAACCGCTGCGGTGGTGGGGGGCAACGTGCTTACGTCGCAACGCATCGTTGACGTCGTCCTCAAGGCTTTTCAGGTAAAGAAAAGTTTTATTCACATACATATATTCACTCACTCGCTTACCCATTCACTCATTCGATTACTCATTCCCTTAGTCGCTTACTCATTCACTCACTCGCTTACTCATTCTCTTACTCGCTTACCCATTTACTCACTCGCTTACTCATTCACTCACTCACGTACCCACATTAATACACTTACAAACGCACAAACCTATGTTTATGCCATCCACCTATTTGTCGCGCGGTCACACGAAAACGTATTACGTTGCGACGAAGAGAGAGTGACCTGCGCATTCTATTGATAATCGTCAAAGTTCTCAACATGGTTTGCTACTAAAATGGGTAGATATCTGAATTCTAACGAAGAGTGGCTCAAAATAGATTCCCATCTTATCATTCCTTTTAAAGTGGAAGTAGCTCCAAACTGTAGGACGTGTGTGAATTTGTTGTTCGAACTAATAAAACAAGAAAAGAAATTCAAACAGACGTTTCTCTCATCTTAGACCTATTCGACCTTGAGGATGCCTTGAAAGAGCAACGCTGATAAATAAAGTCTTCGAGTTATATATCGTCTTTCTCACCGGCTACATTTGCAGGTCTGCGCGGCATCCCAAGGCTGCATGAACAACTTGACCCTGGGCGAGGCCAGCTGGGGATATTACGAGACCGTGGCTGGTGGCAGCGGAGCCGTGAGTACCATTGGTTACGAGCACTTGCGCACTTTTCTTCTCTTGTCTCTATTTTTTAAATTTCATTTTAAATTTAAGTTCGGTATTTTAGGGTTCCGTAACCAAAGGGTCAAACGGGACAAAGATCAGAACAAGGCAAAAAGCTCGATCGGTTCACTTGATGTTACGTTAGAACCACCGCCCGTGGACATTTGAAACACCTGTAGCGTTGCAGATATCTTACCACCTTTTAATAACTCGATTACCTCAATGCACAGATGAAAAGCAGAAGTATAACAATTCCACTTCACGCCGGTTATATGAGAGGTGGTATTTACTCTGTCCAACACTACGATGGCCAATACGAGGCTGCCACTCGAGAACCTATCTTCCCCAAAGTCCAAAGGTTATCGGTTCTACGAGCTATATGGCCCGCCCATTGCCACTTCAGCTTACTAGCCTCTGAGCTGTGTCGGTTACCTCTAATGGTTCTTCGATTTAATTAGGATAATGAGTATAATGGAACGTTAGTGTTGCAACTCGTGTGTGTAACAAAATTAACCGGTGGTAGGGTCGCGGCTGGAACGGCGCTGGCGGTGTGCACACCCACATGACCAACACCCGCATCACCGACGTGGAGATCGTGGAGACGCGCTACCCCCTGCTGGTGGAGACCTTCTCCCTGAGGGAGGGCTCCGGTGGGAAGGGTGAGGGTTTGCAAAGAGTGGCTTCATACTGTGGCAGAGCTGGACTAGACGAATAAACTAAATAACTGCTTATTTTTTTTATGCGAAAAGTTGTCAAACTAGCAGACGGTTCACCTGTTGTTAAGTGAATACCGCCGCCCATGGACATCTGCCACGCCCGAGGGTTACAGATGCGTTGACAACCTTTTGAAAATTGGGCATGCATGAAAGAGTACGAGATCGTGGTGTTTTTTTTTAAAGTTGCCGAGCCAGCGGATGTTAATTGAATACCGCCACCCATGGACATCTGCTACACCCGGGTGATGCGTTGACATGCTTCCAGATGAGTTGACAACCTTCTGAAAATTGGGCTCCGGCCAGCTCACTCACCAGATGAAACGCGAAAGTATTATAATACTTTCACTTTACGCCGGTCTTCTGTGAGGTCGTGGTACTTACCCGGACGAGCCTGCCCATTCGTGCAACAACCGAGGCTGCTGCGTGGCCCTACCACCGTGAAATTCCTTCAAAGTCAAAGTCAAATTGAATGAATATGATTCGGTGGCGCAGTTGCCAAGCTAATGGCTTCGGCGCGAGGTAGCGGATTCGATTCCTACACGGGACGAGTATTTGTGTGACCCACAGATAATTGTTCCGGATCTGAGTGATTGTTCTCAAGGTGAGTTGACGTCACCCATTTACAACATTCGCTAAACCCAACTGGGTGGGATAAGGACAGGAGGATGATGAAAGTATTGAATGACTTTTCCAAGGTTGGCAGCTTAATCTTACTAGTGTTGCAGTGTCCTTTAGTTGTGGCGTCGCTCTCTTTTTATGGGACATGGCAATTTAATAGTTTATATAGTTGATGACTGATGCTTCCCGAAGGCATTTCCAACACCAGTGGGCTGACAGTTGCGCTCGCAACCTTTTGGTCGCGGTAGTTTTAGACGAAAAGCAAAATTATAAATATTTCTTCTTAACTCCAGCATATAGTGCAACAGTAGAAACTACAGCACGCATTTACTGCAGAAAAGTTATTTACTTCTATCCGTTCGTATTCAGTAGTTAATAACTTTCTAACTGAAACGCGTTGAAGTTGACTATTCGTTATGTTCTAGGGCGCTGGAGTGGTGGGGATGGGGTGAGGAGGGAGCTCGTGTTTAGGCGCACGGTGCAGTTGTCGGTGTTGACGGAGCGCCGCGCCTTCCAGCCATACGGGATGGACGGTATGTTGGAATAAGTTGCCTTAGCTGTAGCTTTCGAAGCCGCCTGTAGCTTTCGTAGCCGTCTTTAGCTTTCGTAGCCGTCTGTAGCTTTCGTAGCCGTCTGTAGCTTTCGTAGCCGTCTTTAGCTTTCTTAGCCCCCTGTAGCTACCGTAGCCGTCTGAAGCTCCCGTAGACGTCTGTAGCTCTCGTAGTCGTCTGTAGCTTCCGTAGGGATCTCTTGCTTTAATAGCCGTCTATACTTTCCGTAGCTGTTTATAGCTTACGTAGCCGCTTTTTACTTCCGTGGCCGTCTTTAGCTTTCGTAGCCGTCTTTAGCTTTCGTAGCCGTCTTTAGCTTTCGTAGCCGTCTTTAGCTTTCGTAGCCGTCTTTAGCTTTCGTAGCCGTCTTTAGCTTTCGTAGCCGTCTTTAGCTTTCGTAGCCGTCTTTAGCTTTCGTAATAATGAGCTCCCCGGGTGGCGGCGGATACGGCCGCCCAACGGATTGCAACGCCGGCGAATCACAATACAGTCACAAGTACGGAGAGTTTCTGATGAGGGGAAGCCTCTACGAGTACAAGAGCGCACAAGAATCGGTTTGATTCAAACAAAATGGTTTGACGTCTCTTCCCAAACCATGATAATAGTGGTCGTTGTTCATTTTCATAGTTTTCCAGCTAACCAAGTGATTAGTCGCACAAACAAGTACGCACAAGTTCAACGCCCGGTTTCTGAGACGCTGATCAACGTAGAGAGTTAGTTAACATCTACAGTGATCAGTGTTTCAGAAACCGGACGAGAGTGATGTAATTGAAAAAATCTTAAGCCTTTTAGCGTAACGTATGACTAGGTTTTTTGCTTCCAAACATAGTACACGCAGCGGACGCAAATAGAACATGAAAGGCGCACGTTCATACAAGTGACTGTTAATAAATAGCACAGCAACTCACACTATCAGTAATCACGGACATATATACAAGTTAATAATACATTGAATTAATTTAAAGTATTTTCTACAAGTTTTAACATTGAATTAACTTCAAACAACAATGAACCTATTTGTTAGTTCAACTAAGTCTATCCCAAATTTTACAATACGCTAGTTTCGGCACAGAACAGTGTCTGTCAGTCCCTTGGGCGAGGAACTTAACATCAAAATATTATTAATTGTTTAATGCGCCTTTTCAACTCCTTCAGCCTTGGTTTTTAAATTTCTGGGGCATAGATACACAATTAATAAAACAAAAAAATAAGTACATTATCATGTATCCATTTCAAATAAGAAATCGGTAATAAGACAATCATCATCATAAAAATACTATGAGGTTGGTACAGAGCTTCATGTTTCCCTACTCATAACTATAAGGAGTAATTATATAAAAATAAACGGGTCAAGTGTGACTCGGACTCGCGCTTTGCATAATATTTGAACACAAAGAACACGTGGAAAGTGTCTCCGCTCTTAGAATGATGATCTCTATGGTTTCAGCACCACTTCGAAACACACGAAGGCATTTGAATTGATATATAACACTGTTTTGACGTCTTCGACGTCCACACCTGTCAGCCGTCAGGAATGAATAAAAACCCTTCGCGGTACAGTTTATAAGCCCCGCCCATCGCGGTACAGTTTTCGTTATTGCCATTTTGGAGCGACAATAATACTTCCATGTCTTTTTTTGCGTTCACTTTGTACATAATGTGCCAATAATGCGTGAAGATTAGTGCACTACAAAAAAGATGCAAGCAAATTCACATTTTAAGGATGTTCCAATCATGTTATTGATTTTTGAACATGTAATTTGTAAGTTGATGTTTTGAAATATTATTAAACCGATAACCATTAAGGATAAATAGGTATTGTAGACAATACAAAGTATATAATTGATAGGAAAAGTGTACTAGGTTTGCAGCTATTATGTTTTTGAATTACAAATTATAATTTAACATTATTTAGGGGATATAGATTTCTATTCAATTGCTATAGAGGTGGGTTTTATATAAATGTGTCACAATGTCGAATTATTTGTATGCCTTACTAAAGAACTTATTGCTAATCAAGAGTTATAAAATAATGTACCAGATTTGCATAAATTATATTTATTTTATTACATTATTGCCTCTGTGGAACCTGCAACATTAAATGTTGATAAATTCGTGAAAATAAAACAAATAATATCGAAAAATATATGTAATAATTTAAAGTACATTATAATGTTTTAATCATGTAAGTAGTACATATTTACAATTTTATTTTTTAATCTGTTGATAATATTGTTACATTTCAAAATATATATTTATATCATCCATTAAAACTTGTTTTTTATTTTTGCAGAAATTCACAATTACATACTGCATGAAATGAACATTAATAGAAAAGTGATCTTTAACGAGACGTGAATTTTTTTGTGAAAAGTTCACATAGATGTTAAGTGATTACCGCCGCCCATGGACATCTTCAACAACTGAGGGCTTGCAGATGCGTCTACAACCTTAAAAAAAGTTTGTGTGTATTTACGTTTGTACGCCCATAAGAAGTTATACTTCTATGGCGTAAAAAAAGAAAAACAAGTTGAATAATAAAATCAAAACATCGTTTCAAAAACTGACCTTGACAAAACAGTGAACTCGAGTTGATATAGATATAATATACTTATCCATACAAATGTTCAAAAGTAGAACAAAATTACGAAAGCGCCATCTACATTCTTTATTGAGAACTGTAATGGGCGAATGTGATTGAGAGTATGCTGCCATCTATAAAAATTAGCGTACAGCTTCAAAGGTGTGACATCTTAAAATTTCACTCATCATTTTCATCATAACGTGCCTCAAGAAGTATAACTTCAAAAAGTGGGCCCCGTTACACAACTTACCAAACGTAATGCAAAAGAATAAAAAAAAAAAATGCCCGCTGGACTTCTGTGGGGCCTTGGTACTTCGCCGGACAGCCTGCCCATACGTACGACATTGGAAGCAGATTTAGTGACTTACACACATTGTTTGTGTCTTTGAGATGGTAAGTCCCAGAAATTTACTCGCAACGTGATGCCTGAAATATCACTAGGCAACTACCCTTGGAACACTGGGCGAGAACGCGGGTCGCTATTTATGTATAAAATCTAAATATGCTCTCATTGATTCCAAAACGGCCGGTCTCATTTTGATGAAATTATTTTATTTATTTATTTTTTTAAAAACTTTAACTTTAAGATAACATTATTCTGTGTTGTAAGGATGTTTTATTAACATAAATTTCACGCGGACAAACACCCAGATACGAAACAACTATCCGTGGCTCACATAAATAGCTGTACCCGTGTGGGAATCGAACCCACGCTCACGACCCCCGACGCCGAAGCCAATACCTTGACAACTGCGCTACGGACTCATCAATCAGATTAGTTTGCAATATTATTATATACAAATCGATTTGTGTAAATACGCTCACAAGGACTCCAAAACAGTTGGACTAATTTCAATAAATATCAGGCAGTCAGATTAACGCTGAATATCTGTATACAAAAATCAATATTTGTGGACTGGACGTGTTTCGATGAAACCCGAAATCAGACTAGCCCGGAATACGTTTCTGGACAACAAGCCTCACCCGCTTCTCGTCGGAGTGGTCACAGCGCTGCCACGTCCAAGCCAAGCCGCAGCGCATCCGCTGTCAAGCGGCGTTGCGTTGTTAGGCGGCGTTGCGCTGTCAGGCGGCGTTGCGCTGTCAGGCGGCGTTGCGCTGTTAGGCGGCGTTGCGCTGTCAGGCGGCGTTGCGTTGTCAGGCGGCGTTGCGCTGTCAGGCGGCGTTGCGCTGTTAGGCGGCGTTGCGCTGTCAGGCGGCGTTGCGCTGTCAGGCGGCGTTGCGCAGTCAGGCGGCGTTGCACTGTCCGGCGGCGTGGCACTGTCGGGCGGCGTTGCACTGTCAGGCGTCGCTGCACTGTCCGGCGGCGTTGCACTGTCCGGCGGCGTTGCACTGTCGGGCGTCGCTGCACTGTCGGGCGTCGTTGCACTGTCCGGCTGCGTTGCACTGTCAGGCGGCGTGGTCCCCCGCCGCCGCCAGCGCCTCCCTGTTCTCGTACGCCCAGAAGCCATGCAGCTCGAGCAGGATGGAGACGGCGGTGTGGCCGTGCCCGCTGCGCACCAGGTCCTGCAGCGTGATGCGCGCTGGGTGCTCGGGCCGCACCATGTCGAAGATCTCGTCCTTCACGTCCTCGAAGTTGACCGGGTCGGCGCCGTGCGCGACCATCTGCTCCTGGATAGCCTGCGGGGGGGCAGTGAGTCGGACGTCGAGTAATGCGTTGCGAACGCGTAATGCGTTGCGAACGCGGTGAGCGGTGAGCTGAATGTGGTAGTCCTTTGACAATCAATGAGTAAGTTTAATGGTTCTATATTGAATAAAGATATTTGAATTTGAGGTGACGCGTACGTTGCTCGGTGGCTACCGCGTGCGAATGCCGGTAACGCGTTGCGAACGCGCAATGTATGCTAACTAGACGTGTGTATTTAGTTTTCGTCTGACGGGCTATGAAGTCGGATGGCGGAACAGAATTAACTGGGTTGTCAGTGTCTTCTATCTGTGCCTTTATTCCGACCTAGGTGGGTCGGCACAACACGTGAATAATTCTGTTAATAATTTTTTTACGACCCGCCTGCGTGACGTCAACCCTCCTTCGAAATAAACACCCAGATCCGGAATAATTATTTGAGGGTCACACAAATACTAGTCTCGTTTGGGAATCGAACCCACACTGTAATTGTTTGGCCGTATAAGCGATCAACGGACGACATACCTTGAAGAAATAGTTCAGCGTGAAGGCGTCCAGGTATCCCTGTGAGTTGATGTCGAGCACCCTGAACAGGTAGGCGAGCGCGGCCGGTTGCTTCCTGTTCTCCAGGGCCAGTACCAGGTCGAGGTAGGTCTTGTAGTCCATTTCGCCGTCGTAGGTCAGACATTGCTGGAACACTCGTTGCAGGAACGCGCGCGTCAGCGTACCAGATCCGTAGCTGGGGAAGGAATAGTTAAGCATTGAGAAATGGATTGACTGTGGTAGGGCTACGCAAGAGTTTTCTCCGTTGCACGAATTTGCAGGGTCATCCGGTACCACTAGATACACTGTTACACTTTTGAATTTCGTCTGGTGCACTCACGGGCAACCGGAGCCCACTTTATTAAATGTTGGCAACGCACCTGCACGGGTGTTTCAAATAACCATGGGCGGCGGTTATTACTTAACATCAGGTAAAGACAGTTCGATAGCTGCCTTCTCACATAAATAAACTCAAGACGCAAGACGGAGCCGACTTTAGTAATAGGTGGCAACGCATCTGCAAACCTACGGATGATGTTGCAAATGTCAATGGGCGGCGGTTATCACTTAACATCAGGTGAACCGCCAACTCGCCTCGCCATATCATATCCAACGGGCCACGCTATACGTTATAATTTTTATTTTGACGTGAGTGGCCAGCTTAAGGCATTTCTAAATGATTGCGAGGCGCAAAGGAGGGTGATGTGTTTAATTGCCTACGTGTATGTTTGTTACTTTGTGCTCTACGGCAAATGCAATATTGTTGATTATTACGTCGATCGAAATGTCTCCACCTAGCCAGTGTTAATGAAGATGTGATGGTAATCGAAAACAAGCGATCGGATGCCATATTTAGTTAAAGTTGTTACAGCTTATGGAATAATGTTCCATAACAACGTCATGTTGGCCTTTTCAAATATATTAGCTATTACGCAGTTAGGTTTTTTTGTCTTTTTTGATTTCTTCGCTAGCTTTAAAAAGGGTCGCCAACGTTTACATCAACCACCAGACATGGTAAAGCAGTTATACCAAACTGATCTTCTGCGAGACTGTGGTATTTCTCCGGATGAGTCTGCCCATTCGTGCAACAGCAGATGAGTAGGCCTACCTCAATTAATTAATTATGATTAACTAGCGGACCTGTCAGACTTTGTCCTGTACACACATTTTAAATTCTAACATGCCACACTTGGAATAAGTTTGTGAATCTAAACCATACCCGAATCAACCTGAAGAGACACACAAAATTTCATTAAAATCGGTCCAGCCGTTTAGCAGGAGTTCAGTGACATGCACACATACTACTAATTATATATATAAAGATATGAAATAAAGTATGAAGTAGAAACGACAAAAATTCATACCCGGCCAGCTCATTTATGCTCAGCATGCCGTTGTGGTCTCTATCCAAGTTCAAATACTGTCCATAGACGCGCAAAGCGGACGCTGCGCTGAACCAGTTCTGTTCTTGCAATTCCATGGGCAGGTCTTCCTCGCGCAGCTGAATAATTAAAGGTTTCCCAATGGTTTGTCATTAGTAAGTAATAATACTTCGATGAAAAGTATAAGGATAATAAATGTGTGTGTGTAAAATGTGTGGTTTAATTTTTTTTTCTTTTTATTATGTATTTTTATATTTATGGTTTAAATGTACATATGGCGTATTTGAGCAACAAATGTTTTCTTTCTTTCTTTCTCAAACATAATACTTATAAAACTGATAATGACGGACATATAATTCACAACTCTAATCCCCTTATACAATTTAATTTTATATTATACAGGGAGATTTGAGAAGTCCCCAAATTTACACAGGAGGTTCAGACTCTGTACTATACTCGTTTATTGAAATAAAAAACAAAGTTTTTTTTTCCAAAAAAATTTCATTCTATTCCTTAAAAAACAGAACGTGTTGACAATGCGATAGTCATTCATAATTATCTAAATTTTATTGTGCACGAACTTGTGTGCGTGTTAGTTATGAATGATCGCGCGTAAAATAAATGAGTTGCGTTTTATTCACGCACTTTTTGATAAGTTCAAATGAATGTCATTAATTACTTACGACTGATTTTAAATATTTATCATTTTTTATATAACATTATTTATGTCTAGAATTGAATTTAAAAAAATAACTGATCTGAGTATCAAGATGCTCAAAATTTCTTAGAATGCAAAACACATTTATTGCAACAGGATGAATATTAATACTATACATTCTATTGATAGATTTATTATTACTCTTACCTCAAGTAAGTCATCTAAGAATGAACATGACAGGACATCCCGAATTCTCACACGTCCAACTCTCAGTGGGTCAAGAAAGAATAAGAACTTCCTAGCTGCGGTACACACATAGAAAGAGCTAAACGATGAGTCTAAGCCATCTAAAGCTGCCAGAGACGGCACCAGTTCTGCAATATAGCTTTCTAAATCCTGTAAAGACATTAAAGGATACAATGAAGCAATAAACATACATTTTTATTGCCCACTGCTGTGTACTTAATACCCCGTGTATTCAACAATATAGCTTGATGATGGTAAAATCACTGTTAAATTAACAATTCAAATAATTTTTGTATTATAATTACTCTTATCCCACTTATGTGAAAATATTTACATAAAATAGAATAAGATATTTAAAATTCAGTTTGGGCTATTTCAATCTTAACTAAAGATTTTAACTTACATGTTCAGTAAGATATCCTTGTCCAGTAACATCATATAATGAAAGCCCAATCCTTGTCTGCTGCAGCCACACCCTTCTCATAACGTAATTGAAAAGTGAAACACCTCGGACTTTGCCTACACCACCTTCAGCAGCTTGTAAGCGACCAAACACTTCTGCTGTGAAATAAGGCCTACAAGAAAAAAAAATAATTTATTACTAAAGTTCTATTCTACTAAAATAAAAAAATCAACTTTGAATTAACTCGGACTCATGTCAAAATTAAATAAGCATCTGATAGACCACTATAGGTCTTATATAAGACTTTCCATGTCTTTAGGTCATCAGTGCTTAAATAGAATATCATCTATAAATATGATTAATTTTTGGTTAGTATTTACTTAGTTGCTATATCTACTTTTCACTAAGCATTTTAGATTTCTGATACAATATTTATTGAAAATAAATAAAAACTTTTTATTACTGTAGTAAATATATTCTCCTCCTAGTGTCATATATCCCCAAAGCTACTATTCTTCATAGTTCTCAAACTTAAATACCATAACAAAATATGTGATTAGTGATATATTATAAGAGAGAATACATATTTACCTATATTTAGGCCCAGCCTCATCTCTAATCTTTTCTGAACTGCATATAGTCAATTGTAAGTTCATCATTACTTGATGGACTGTAGTTACCATTAGATTTCTCTAATAGACTCCATAAATGCTTGAGCTCGCTGTTATCTAATAGTTCTTTGCTTTTCTTTTGAAGAAACTGAGCTCTAGTTTCCTCCCTAAGTTTTTGTGCTAGCACTTCATCTGTCCGTGGCAGTTTGAAGTAAAATTTAGGTATTTTTTTGTATGACTCTTGATTGCCTTCCAGTTTTGGTTTATACAGCTGCTTGAATGTTTCAACTTCAATTTTCTCGCTTTCTTCTTTTGTTGTAATTGCATTAGTTTCTTAGTGTGAAAATAACAAACGAATTTTAAAAATTAATTTGATAAGAATTTTGTTATACTCAAGGGAATGTATTAGTAGAAAGATGAACATACCTTCTAGTTTTTTAATGTAACTACGTAGACGATTTTTCAATTTGTTATTAAGCTCATCTTCGACGGGGTTTGCTTTTTCGTTATTATTAACTTTATCTTCTATTTTTTCTTCATTTGTGCTTGTAGACATGATATTGTTTTAATGATTTACAGTAATGAATATTTTTTAAATTCCTTGTGCTGTTTTTATTTCAGTAAAATTACAATTGATAAATTTATTTTAAAAATTTAACAGTACTAAACAAACAAGTAAAAACTAAAAACAATAAATAATTGTTGGCTGGCTTACCTACGTTGACAGATCAACATTGCTGATTGGTTTCGTTCAGTAATGTTTACGCATTTACGGATATGCCTTGTTGAATTGCTATAAGTAACAAAAAATAATTAAAATTAAGTTGTACTATTTAACAAATGAAAAAAAAAACTAATAACTGGAGTAACTTGAAATAAACTGGGCTTTGCTTTTATTATACCATTCGTTTTGATTATTTTCGTACGTGTTTTATTCCTATTTATCGGCGAGAAACTCTGCGGTCTTGTTTTTTCATTTGTTTTCAATGATAAATGTCTAAAAAGTTATATAAGTATAAATTAACAACAGCCAGTGGAACTTGCAAGTGCAGAGCAAGAGTAATTTCTACACATCTTTATCCTCAATATACTATACGACATAATAAGCCTGATGATAAGCGATTCGCCACTTATGGACACTTGCAACATCGGTTGAGTCACAATAGCGTCGCCGGCCTTTAAGGTAGGAGTAACTCTCCTCGTGAAGGTCCCTAAGTCGTATCGGTCCGGAAATACCGCTGGCGACTACTCGTTCCACAAAGCAGCTGCGCTGGGCAGTAAATTGCGTGTAAAGCGCACAGTGGTGGACCGCCAACCATTAAGGTGCTGTCGATGGTAATTAGCGGTTTGTTGGTAGCGGGTAGTAGGTATCAATATGTACGTTTGGTGGGACTCCGGGATATCCTACGGAACGCACCGTTGCCCCTCGATACTGGCCATGAGCACACCTCGGAGAAGGATAAACCTTCCCCGATTCCCTCGCAGCAGCAGCTCCAGGCCACTTCGTGCTACTGCTGAACCATGTCCCCTTTTAGTCGCCTTTTACGAAAGGCAGGAGATACCTTAGTCCTATTCTAGAGCCCAGGGCTACAGGGCTGACCTCTCGTTAGTTACCTACCTGATCTTACGTATGGCACAGACGGCAGCGCTTAATTTCTTACCTTACCTAACTACATGACCTCCACGTTGCAACTTGAAGTCAATGTACATTCCAAGAAATGCTGCAGAATCCTCAAGGGGTAGAATTTCCCACGAATGCAGATTCCTGGCTGGTTAGACAACTTAGACTAAATATGCTACATATTGTTTAGAGGACTCCAAAAGTAAACTATTGGTTCGAAGCCAGCCTATATTTTTTTATGTGAAAAAACGACAAACGAGCTGTGCCTTGTGGCCAATAAAAAAAATATAACAAGTCCTCCATTAAGGAACTGGGTATTTAGTAAATTTAATAACATTATTATTATTACATTAAAAATAAACATTAAAAATAATATACATTAAAATATTTATTAAAAATAAATAATTTTAATGATGTCAAGTATTTTTCCGTTGTAAGAAATAAAATCTTGTCCCTATCCCTCCCACAAGAAGCATGGTGACAACTCCGCTTATCTTACATCAGATTGGGCAAGCCCAAACGCATAGAGTGAACATGTATTAACGCTGTTAAGTAAAAATAATTGGCTCATTTCCTTGCCAATGAAAATACTACAGTCTATTAAGCAGTTCACGTTGTACAACCGAATGGCTTCTTTCGCTGACCTGATGTGAAGTGATAACCGCCACCTATGGACATTTTCAATACCCGTAGGGTTGCAAAAGCGTTGCCACCTTTTAATAAAGTGAGCCCCGGCCCCACTCACCAGACGAAACGCAGAAGTGTCATTTCTACTTTACGCCGGTCTTCTGTGAGGTCGTGGTACTAACCCGGACGGACCTGCCCATTCGTGCACAAAGAGTACTGTTGCGTGGCCCTAAAACGTGAAGCCTAACGCAACATCTCGTATTTTATTTGGTTGCTCTAGCGATTCATCTTTCCTTTTAACTTTAAACAATTGTGAAGTGTCTTCCGAAAATGATTTATTCTTCGATGACTACGATGAGTGGTTTAATGAATTTTGCGTTCTGACTTCTATTCTATAGTTGCTACGTCATCATCGCTCTTTAACAAACAGTGTTGGTATGATAATAGTTATGACGTGTATAATTTTATATATACGTATATGTACTTAGAATGTAGTTGTGTACACCTTTTGTCATATTGTTTAAAATACTACTTTAGTCCGGTGGAAGTCCCTAGGATAGTCGTTGCTTTAATATACGTTTGGTTGCCTTGTTATATAGCGTTAACTCGATGATATAGTTTAAAGACCTCAAAAAATGACTTGATGAAATTATTTTTAAATTAATCCTTTATTTGTATACAAATTATATCATAGCTATCTAATTTAAGTTATTGAGTTTCATTGCGAAAATTAAATCAGTCAAATCTATTAACAGATATCTCTATTCACCGATTGTAGATTTATGTTAATGTACGTAGATCTCTACGATAAGAACCTGTTGCCGAGATTCCTTATCAGCATATTAATATATTTTCTAGTTGTCGTTTAAATCAACGTTCACGGCTGAATAATTTCAGCGAAGGCGTAATAATTTTACTGTTGGCAAATAAAAACTTTCATTAAAGTTTCCACGCACATGCGGTGTATAATCGTTGTGTAAGTTATTATGAATGAACATTATGTCATTCTGCCTTCCTTTTATGCGAGGAATTCCTGAACTATGTATACTTTTAGTGTTAACTTCGAGGTTTGGACAAAAGTTATATATTGTTAAGTTATATACCTACTTATTTTTGTATGGATTTGGGTCATTTTTGCATTTTGTTTTGACGGCACTTTTACTTTCAATTTTTTTTCTAACGTTTTATAACCCTAAAAGTAATACATTTAATATTTATCTATTGTAATTTAATTTATTTTCCATTAAGAGTTTTAACCTTATATACCGTATAGTATTAATGTTTATAGGATAACACAGATCTAGGCGGAAAGGCGGCGAAGATGCTGATCAACATGACATTCATCACAAAAGCTCTCACGGCACATGTAATAATCACGCACTAATATTTCAATGGGATTTTTACATTTAGGTTAATGATGTCAATCTCTGTGACCGTTAATTGTGATGATCATTGCCTAATTGAATAATAATGAAGCGGTTTCAGAACGACTCGCACTCAATTTCACAATATTCAACCAACTACAATAGGCTTATCAAAAAATCTTGGGAGTAAATCAAGTGATAAATTGACCGAAATTTTTTTGAGATATTTAACGAGTTAATTAGATTTTCAAAATGATGGTCACTGATCATCACCGCTAGCCCCCTAGGAGAAAAACTGTCTGTTGTGGTGGTCATCCGTTACTATTAACAATTGCAGGTCTTTTTTTACACTGTGCGACAAAATTTCCCTTTCCCGTCTAAAAATAAAGATAAAAGAAATAAAAAAAGGTCTTTTTTATTTACGTAGGGGAAATTTCAACGCATATCCGCTCTTACGAGAGCAAGGATTCGATAGACTCGCATTGAGTATTTAGCCAGGGCGCTTATTAGCAAGGTCCCGCGGATGCTTTCGCATACTTTCGTAGTCCCGCCAGCCCTAGTAGCTGTAGCCCCTCTTCATAGACTAACCCTCTCGCCTACAGCACACCAGAATATAAAAGTCACCTTCCTTCTCAGGCTTGCCTTGTTCCACACATACATAAATTTACTTATTGACTCGACAAAAGTTGCTTCATAGGTGGCTCTATCCTTTTAAATTGTTTCTCTACGAAACGAATGTATCGCGTGGAATTGAATTTTTGTCGGTAAAGAATTATAAATATGGATAATTATTGCTAGCTACATAATAGATATGACGTGAACTGTGTTGTAACAAGTATTTCGCGTCTTGTTAGAAAGAAGTTTTCTTTTAATTAGCGAAAGAAGCCATTCGGTTGTGCAACGTGCACTGCGTAATAGACTTTAGTGTTTTTATTGGAAAGGAAATGAGCTGATTATTTTTACTTAACAGCGTTAATACGTTTTCATTCTGTGCGTTTAGGCTTGCCCAATCTGATGTAAGATAAGATGGGTTGTCACCATGCTTCTTGTGGGGAGAGGGACAAGATTTTATTTCTTACAACGGAAAAATACTTGACATCATTAAAATTATTTATTTTCAATTTACTAAATACCCAGTTTCTTATTGGAGGACTTGTTATTTTTTTTTACTGGCCACAAGGCACAGCATCCATATAATACCTATCTCTCTGTACTATGCCGGTAATGTGTTTATTGGTTTCTCTTTGAGTATTTTATGAGCATAAAATTGGTCATCTGATGACATGTGAGTATCGAAGCCCAAATAAATTCACAGTGCTTGTGCGCTTCGGGTTGGGGTGCGTTTTAACCTTCAAGATCCCAGGTGGTTCTTGGTTACCTCACTGAAGGGACTTAAGGAAAAAGTATAAAAAGTATAAATCGTTTTATTTTGCGTCAGTTTTTTGTCTATGTTAGATGCTGTTTTCGGTTTTAGTCTTAAACAAACATACTTCGAAGATATATGAAGTCCGCCAATCCTCAGTGGGGCCGCGTGGTGGACTATGCCCTGATACCCTCTGTACAGAGGAGGCCTTTGCCCAGCATTGGGGCATCTATAGGCTGATACTGGTCGGTTTTTTAATATATTTTTACATTACGTCAATTTCATATGTCCGCGTAAATTTGTAACGCTCATGGTCACCCTACCCGAAATCCAATTAAAAAGCGGGTAAAGTAGCTTAAGCTGCAGGTATCCTGGGAATGGCTAAAATAAAAAATAGAGTTTAATTGCATCTCAGCCGGTTAATAGTTGATGTATCCTTTAGACTGCTTATGTCGGCGGGGTGTTTAGGATTCCACGATTAAAAGCCCAGTTGGTGTTCGATATGGCGAACCTTGTGGTTTGCAAAGGCGTTTGTTATATCCTTACTTAATATTATAAAGGCGAAAGTTTGTATGTATGGA